CGACGCAGCCCTCAATGGCTTTGTCACGTCTCTCGGTAACCTCTTGTCCGACAAAGGATTCAAAGTGAGCGCTGGCCTTTTGCACGAAGTCGACCCTGCTGGCAAGATCTGTATCGCACTTCTCGAAGCGTGCGAGTCTTTTGTATATAACTGGACGATCGAGCAGTTCAGTGACTTCCACAATCTCCAAAACACAGCCAAGAGCCTCTTGTGGATTACCCGTGGCGCAAACAGACGTCCTACCATTCCACAGAACGCACCCGTCATCGCGCTTGCACGCACGATCTTGTCCGAGGATCCGCAAAAGACGATTGTCACTCTCGACTTGGCCGGAGCTACTCAACTTACTTCGTCCACCCTCCCCAAGACTGTGTGGTCTGTCCTTGCTTCAATCTTGGCTGGATCAATGGAGGCGGAGTTTGCGGAAGCAGGAGGCGATCTTTACATCCCAAGATTGATGCCCCAGGAGGAGCTCAACAGAATGATCGAAAACGACTCTCATATCGAGGTTGTCCAAAAGCCTGTTTTTTACCATTCATCGAGCAAAGAAGGTTACAAGATGGCGATCTGTCGGCCAGGAATTTCGAATGACAACTTCCACTTCGTCAAGACCTCGTATCCTACAAAGCTTGGTCCTCAGGAAGTCGAGATTCAGACCCTCAGCGCGGCCTTGCATGTCTCCGATCTTCACACCGCCATGGGACGGACTGACGATGATACACTGGGCATTGATGCCATGGGAATTGTGAGCAAAGTCGGCCGCGATGTGAGGGACATTCGCTGCGGAGAACAGGTTGTGGCCCTTGTCCCCGGCGCCTTCAAGACGGTTCATCGAGTCGACCAGGGCTTCGTCAAGCCCGCGCCGCCGCCGTTCGAGTGTTGTCAGTATACTCCGAGTGCCCTCATCGCTGCATATTATGCAATTCTCGGCGTCGGTAAACTGTCGAAGAAGAAGAAGTTGCTGGTCCACGCTGGGGCAAGTTCTTACGGTCAAGCTGCAATTCGCGTCGCAACCCTGATCGGTGCCGAGGTTTTTGCGACGGTTCTGGGAAGCGACTCTGATGCCCAGCGTGAAACCCTCGTCAAAGCTCACTGCATTCCGGAGGATCATATCTTCGACGCTAACGGAGAGTCTTTCGTTGCTGATGTTCTCCGATTCGGAAAGGTCAACATTGTCTACAACCCCACCCAGGAGCACACTGCCGTCAATTTCAAATGTGTCAAGTCATGTAAGTCAGCATATATCCTCACCTGGTGCGAAGCTAAAATAATATAGCTGGCTGCGTTTTCCAGCTCTCCGATAAAACTGGAAAGCCTGTTAGAGGTCCCGTTGTTACTTCCACGATGTTCATGCGTTTCGACGTTGCCACCATCATGAAGGATGACCCTGACCTCATCAAGGAGTTCTTCACCACGGTAGATCACTTTGCCTTTGACTACTTGCGCAAGAGCTCGAGCCTACAGTGCCAGCCGGTCCACCGATTCCCCATGTCCAACTTTGAAGGAGCTTTCAAGCAGATCGACAAAGCACCCTACCACGGTCTTGTCACCATGACAGCCGACCGCGATACCCTCGTTCCTGTGGCCACAGAGACACAGATCAAACCTCTTGCTGATGCCATCGACTCGAAAGGCACCTACGTTCTCGCTGGCGGTCTTGGAGGCTTAGGAAGGAGCATCGCGAAACTACTTGCCGACAATGGTGCGAAGAAGCTGGTGTTCTTGTCAAGATCTGGTGGCAATCAGGATGCCCAGGATTTCCTTCATCATCTCAGCAAGTCAGGCGTCCAAGCCACGGCAGCCGCGGTGGATATCACAGATCTTCAGGCACTCAGGGCACTCGCTCCGACTCTGGGCAAGATCGCTGGCGTTGTTCAGTGCGCCGCGGTCATTCAAGTCAGTCTCCTCACCTCCTTTGCCCCGTATTTGGCCATAGACTAACAGAAAGCAGGATGCTCTCTTCGAGAAGATGAGCTTTGCCGACTGGCACACCGCCTTCGCTCCCAAGGCAGTCGGCGCTGTTAACCTAGCACAAGTCTTCGGCCAACGCCCTAAACCCGACCCCGGCCCGTCGACCCCGGCTGCCGCCCCTTGGTTCCTCTTCCTCTCGAGTGCCTCGGGAATAATCGGCAACCGGGGCCAAGCAAACTACGCGGCGGCCAACGCCGTTCAAGACGCCCTCGCCCAGGTTCTCCCTCGCGCCGTCTCCCTGGCTCTCGGTCCGGTCCTCCAGGCCGGGATGCTGGTGGAGGACGAGGAGATCCTGGGGAAGCTCCGCGGTGCTGGGTTCTACGGAATCCGGCACCAGGACTTCCTGACGATGGTGGAACGGGCCATCACGGGGGAGGTCACCCCCGGCGTCCAGACGAAGCCGCAAATCGTCTCGGGCGTCGGCACCGGTGGCCTCATCCGCCAAAACAACCCCGGCGACCCCTTTTGGTCGCGCACGGCGCTCTATTCGTATATGAATATCGTCGACGTGCCGATCTACTCTCCGAAGGGGGGTCGTGATGATGGCGGCGTCTCCAGCGGCGAAGCTGACGTCAAGAAGATGCTCGCCGTGTGCTCCGGGGCGGAGGCGGCCGCGGTCATCATCTGCACCGGCCTGGTGCAGTTGATGGCCAAGGCCATGTCCCTCCTCCCGGAGGAGATTGATCCGGAGCGGGCGCCCAGCGCGTACGGCGTCGACTCCCTTGTTGCTGTAGGCGTTCGGAACTAGATTTTCCTCAATGCCGGGGGAGTCGATGTCTCCGTCTTTGAGATTCTCGGGGAGACGTCTGTTCGGGGCCTGGCTGGTGTCGTTGCCAGCAGGGGCAAGTGGTGAAGGGCAAGGAGGGGGCCAAGTTCCCTAAGAAGACTGGTGTGTGTGGCGGTCCGAACGAAATGAAAGGACCGGAGTGAGGTGGCCCAATCTAGTCGTACAATGGGGTTGTGGTCGTCCGCGTGTGTGAATGGGAGGATACACATGGGCGGAATGATGTGTTTTTGTGGAAGGGACCGGATAGATCAACGCTTTAGAGTTAGTTTTCTGGGCCGGCTTCTCGTTTTTGATCAATAATTGACTGTCTTGTATTCATGCAAGATCTAGGCGGAAACTGGCGGTCTTCCTACATTTCAAAGTTGCCTCTGTGAGAGGAAATTGCCAAGTGCTTGTAGCTAGTAGCAGTCCTATCCCGGCTATCGGAAATGACCCAAGGCTGTACTTGTATCAAGGAGCGAGCGAGGAGTGAGGCTCCAGTGTATGAGTACCTTGAGTAAATATCTTTACCTACCTTCATTTTTATTGAGCATTAATCAAAAGGGTAATTAGTCAAGAAATCTAAGCGTCGCAGTGTGGCAAGAACAATCCAAGCCACAGCTTATTGACAATACTCGACACGCCGGTGGTAGTTTACGTTGAACAATATGACCGCATGGTCGAGAAGCGGTGGTAAAGAGTTCTTTCATGAAAATAAATGAATTCATGCTGTGTCTATCGAATCACAATCATACACCCAATGGTAAAGTTGAGACCTGCCAGCTAGGGGGCGCATGCCGAAAGTCTGGCTGGGCAAGGTTGCAAGGCAGGAATCGGGCTAGATATTTGCTCAAGCCTCTAGGCCATAAGGCATTCTGGGCAAGCATGCAGGCTCATAGCACGAGGCTCATGAATAGCAAACAACACTTCGAGAGATTCGATGGACAGAATGCGACGGTGTGGTAAAACAACGGCCTGTGCCTCACGCGAGCCCGATGAGACAAAAAATAATCGCAATGAACAGATGGGAGGCGGTTGCAGCCTGGGGCTGACTGCAGGTATCCGGGTCACCGAGACATGTTCAAGTGAAGTCAGGAGTCGAAGAAGTTGAGTAATGACATTGACTATAAGCCAAGAGTCTCAGTGAATACTTGGGCCATGTGTGAACTGATCTGAAAATGCGAGAGAACATTCTCTGAAAAAGGCTAGTCCTTGAGCGTTGGCCTGAAGAGCCTCACAACGTCAGGGCAGGTCTCATTTGCAGAAAAGTACCTAAGACAAGCATGTTCAAGTGATGGGCACACTCATTGGATGCCTTGTTAAGACCGGTGGATCAAGACATTCTACTTAGGCCGATACATCAGAGGGCGATGGAACAGAAGACACACACCGAAAATGCTGGGATGGGGCTCTCGAATCAGTCATGGTAGGATTGGTGGAAGGGGAAAGTGCAATAATTGAATTTCTATCTACGCATGCGTGGGCCAAAACTTTGGACCCTTGAAAACACTCGGCATTGTACTTTCCCTAAGAGGCAAACGCTTGAGGGGGGGGGGGGCAGGGGGGGCAGTCCAGGTACGTACCTGCTCTGTGGGTTCCTTGAAGTACACTGTAAATTTAGCCAACAAATGCCACAGTGCCTCAAAGTCCATTCCGCGCTCCAATTAACGCGTCGCGCTATTCCAGGTGACAGACATGACATCAAATACTTTGAAGGAAGCTACGATAAGATAGGGAAATCACCACTGCAAGCAGGACCGAGAGTCTGCCTCTGCCTAAAAGTACCATCTCCTTGCGACTGGATCATACATGTTGCAGACCTCATGCTTTACCCTCATCACTCTCACTCAGCAGATCAACCAGTGATCGAACAAAGATTGAGAAGGCAGCGACGACTTTGGCCCTCTTGCCCCCAGTCCTTGAGGCCGAATCAATCGTCGCTCTTTCAGTCCCTGCGGCAACTATCTTTCCATTTCCATCACAACTCACTCTGCCGACAGAGACCGATTTCTTCCAGACGACACCACACGGTACCTCTACCACTTCGGCTCCCGACCCATCTCCGACAGCCTGCTGCAGCACAACATAAACCTCTCCAGCACCCAGCAGATGTTGCAGCACCGCGCCACACACCTTTTGACCTCGTCGCCTGCAGCTCGCCTCATTTGAGCGAGGAAAGGGAAACTTCGCCCCGCCACCGCCGTCTTGCCCAGCATCCCACCGACCGACCGACACTCACACTGCGTTTGCGCAACCAACAAATATGGACGACGACCCGGCTGCCACCCAGGCCCGGGACAAGGAGGCACTCAGGAACCTCGCCAACGAACTCCTGGACCTCGAGGGTGAACGAGACTTTCGACAAGCCATCGCCGAATCTCTCGCCGACGGGAATCCGCGAGACTACGAGAAGGCTCTTCGAGAATACGATTCGGCTGCGAAGACGATTGAAAGCAAGACACTCGAGAAGCAGCGACTGGAACAGCGGATTCGGGCGGCCAAGAACTTTGCGCGACAGTCAACGAGAGACGCTACATTCGGAGAAGACGCAAACATGAGAGCGGCTAGGGACCGCTGGGGAGTTGGTACGTGGATATTCTCTTTTGATTTGCTGAGTTATTGCGAAGCCTACCCGAACTGCTCGAGTTTTGCACTTGCGACTTATCTCGATTTCGGCCCCAGATTCTTCAAGTGAAGAAGTCAGCCATAGTGTACGAGCAACTGGCCTGCCAAAGATGGAAGGACGGTCAGAAGTCTGACCTGTCTATCCATCATTTGGTGGTCATGGCAAGGGTGTCGGTCGATGGGAATGACAGTCTCAGGTTTGCTTGTCTGAAGGATATTGTTTTCTCAAGCGCCTGATCGACTTGTCAAGAAGTAACGAAAACATCGAGCTCTCCTGTCCATGGCTGCCCAAGGTCTGAGGGCGTAAGGCAGGCAGTATTCTCAGTGCCGCTCCTGCCTTCCCAAAGCAACCCAGTCATGCCTTACTCCTGCCTAGTCGACGCCTTCCTCTTCCTCCTACGCCTTCCACAGGTCCACATCATAATCTAAGCTTTTCATATTTCACCACTCATTCCTCACTCAACTCTCTACACTGACCTGGAGCCCCATCAAAACCTCCCGCCTTCAGAATACCTGTCTCTCATTGATCTTTTATTACCGTCTCGACCATCCCACACCATCCCTCACACCTATCCACGATCAAACATGATTTCGATCTAGGCATATTTCAGCCTACCTGATTTATTAGCACCTTGGTCACATGGGACACTGATAAATACCTCTGTGAAACTGACATTTTTCCAGCCAACGTCCCTTACAGACCATCTTCCGGGTCCCAAAACGCGGTCGCCTCCCAGGGACCTTCGAAAGACACATTCGCCATGCCCAACTCGGGTTCCGCTCGTGCCGGCTCGGCCTCCTGGAACCATTTTGAACCGCCTGTGCCCAATCTAGGTAGTTCGGCAAGCCATACCAATCCATTCAACAGGAAAAGAGCATTTGGTTCCGCCTTTGAGTCTCTCGGCCAGGCCACTTCAGGCCGGAACAAGTCTCAGCGCACAACCGATGTGTCTGATGTCATCGACCTTACTGGGTAAGTACAAATTATATTTCACTGCTGGATTGGGCTTAGGTCTGGGCGACAAATGACTATTTGTTTTCTGATACAAGGACTAACAAATCTGGCAGGGACGATGATGATGTACCTACATCATTCATATCGCGCTCAAAGCAAGCGGAGGCACAGGAGCGAGGTCGTAGAATGGCCTCACTGGCACGCACTCCCCGTCAATTCTCTCAGGCCAATGCATACGACGCCAGACATCCTCCCGTGGTCCATCATCTCCCAGGCGTATATGGCACTGGATATGCCAACGGTCTAAATCCCAATAATGTCATTCCCCAGGGATATGCCAGCGCGAGCTCTTCTTCGAGTATGGCTTCAACCCCTGGCGGAGATTTTATGCCCCGGATGCCGGGTTCTTACATCGACGAGGAAGACATGAACTTTGGTTTCACGCCGGCTAGCCAGATGATGAACCGTCAGCTAGCCAACCGGAACGGATATCCTTTTGGCAACAGATCTGCTCTAAGCACCTCTGATGTGATCAACAGAGCTAACAACTACAACTTCATGGACCTGACCGACGGCTCCGGAAACCCGCTGGATGCTCGCGTTGTCTCCTTGATGGAGGACATTAACAATGACCCTCGCAGATCCAAAGAGGAAGTGGAGGCACTTTTGCGAAATGTGCACGCCGGCATGGATATCCCCGAGGAAGATCGGGAGGGAACTCCTGAAGCTATGAGATACCCTCTTTATGCGCACCAGAGGGTTGCGTTGACATGGATGAAGCGCCAAGAGAAGGGCACTAACAAGGGAGGTATATTGGCCGATGACATGGGCCTGGGAAAGACAATTTCCGTTCTATCCCTCATGGTGTCACAAAAGTCGACCAAACCAACATGCAAGGTAGGTTTACTTCCAATCAATTTTCATATGCTGCTAACTCCCCCTTACAGACCACGTTGATTGTGGCCCCGCTGTCCCTGATTCGGCAGTGGGAAGATGAGATCAAGAAGAAGCTCAAGAGTGGCCTGCCTCATGCCTTGACTGTATACATTCATCACAGTACTCAGAAGACGACAGCCCAAGAGTTGATGAAGTACGATGTCGTCCTGACCACCTATGGGACCCTCGTCTCGGACAAGAAGAAGTATGCTGCTTGGCTCAAGGACTTGGACGGACGTCCTGCGTTGACCAAGACCGACCCCAATCTGGCGAGCTCTGTCTCCCTGTTCCATCCAGATTACTCGAAGTTTTATCGCATCGTTCTGGATGAAAGCCAACAGATCAAGAATCACAAGGCGCAGGCGGCTGGGGCCGCTTCCCACCTGCAAAGCGAGTATCGTTGGTGCCTATCCGGTACACCGATGATGAACGGCGTCGACGAGCTCTATTCTCTCTACAGGTTCCTGGGAATCAAGCCATACAGTGACTGGTCTAAGTTCCGTGGCGCCTTTGGGGTGCTCTTCGGGAAGAAAGGTGACCCTCAGGCCCAAGCAATGAGAAACTTGCAAGTTCTGCTCAAGGCGACTCTTTTACGCCGAACCAAGACTTCGCAAATTGATGGAAAGCCCATTTTGCAACTTCCAGAGAAAACCGAGGAGGTGGTTTACGCAGAGTTGGACGAGGACGAGCGCAAGTTCTACACTGATCTAGAGACCAAGTCGCAGGTTCAGATCAACAAGTACCTGCGAAAGGGTACTTTGGGCAAGCACTATTCTCATGTATTGGTGTTACTTCTCCGCCTCCGCCAGACTTGCTGTCACCCGCATTTGCTTCTTGAAGCAGACGATGCAGTGCCTGAAGTCGATGACGATATGCTTAGTCGCGTCAGAACTCTATCTATAGCTGTTGTTCAACGCCTGACTGAGAAGTCTCGCGCTCTCGAGAGCGCCGACGCCATCAATGAGGGCTTTGAGTGCCCAATCTGCTACGACATGATGCCCGACCCGACTATTCCACTGCCCTGCGGGCACGAACTCTGTGCTGGCTGTCTCAAGCAGCACGTTGACAACGCTAGGCGGGAGAACATTAGAAATGGCGAAGACGAAGGCCAGGTCAAGTGCGCTGTCTGCAGAGGCGCGTTGGACCCGACGAACGTAATCACTTTTTCGGCGTTCAAGAAGGTCTACATGCCTGATGAAGCTGCTAGCGGAAGCTCTGAAGATGAAGAGTCCGACGGCTCTGTTTGGAGTAGCGATGATGATGAGGAAGAGGAAGAGGAGCAAGACGATGCCGATGCAGATGACGCCGATAAGAATGGCAACCTTAAAGGCTTCGTCGTTCCTGATGCTTACGCTAACATTAGTGATGATGAGGACGAGTTGTCAGGGTCTCCTGCGCCAAAGCCCAAGGCGATTGAGCGAAAGAAGAGGAAGTCGAAGGGAAAAATGAAGGCTGCAAAGTCTTCAAGTAAGGAGTCAAAGAAGAGACTGAAGAAGATTAAGGGCAGCCAGTTGGCAACGCTTCGAAAAAATGCCAAGAAGAACGCTGGTGCCTGGCAGGACTACACAAAGTACCTGAGTCACCATTGGCTTGCTTCCTCCAAGACGAGAGCTTGTGTGGATCTTCTCAAGAAGATTCAGGAAACAGGCGAGAAAACAATCATTTTCTCCCAGTGGACTATGCTGCTGGATCTTTTGCAGGTCGCGATCAGAAAGCAAGGTCTCAACATCAAGCATTGCCGCTACACAGGAGAGATGTCGATGGCACAGCGTGATGACACTGCTTTCACTTTCTCGAACGACCCGAGCATGAAGGTCATGATGGTGTCGCTGCGCGCCGGAAACGCTGGTCTTAACCTTGTCGCGGCTTCGCAGGTCATCATCATGGATCCTTTCTGGAATCCGTACATTGAGATGCAAGCCGTTGACAGAGCCCACCGCATCGGCCAGCAGAAGCCTGTAAAGGTGCACCGAATCCTGACCCAGCAAACGGTTGAAGATCGTATCGTCCAGCTTCAGGAGAAGAAAAGGGCGACGGTGGACGCCGCTTTGGACGAGCGTGAGGGTGCTAAGTTGGCTGGCCTCAGCATGACTGAACTGCGTTTCCTTTTCAATCTTTGAGAGAGGATTCGACCGATCTACATTCGATTTCGAAATCCAGTTCCAAGTCTCGTTTGTAGAGGTTCACAACACAATCTCTGACGATCTGGATCGGAAGTTAATTTCTTCAGTGACCTTTTCGCACCAGATCTCGTTATTCCTGCGAGGCGGAGGAGGCATTTTTTAATCAATGGTTTCGGGGGGAGGTATTACGAATCGCTTACGACTGGCATTTTATTGCATCCGCATCACTACAGTGAACAGGAAACAAGGGAAGGGGGAAAGCATACCCATGACGAAGACATGGGCACAGAAAATAGGCTTCACAGCCAACACCACGGAAATGTGACTAGAATGGGAAAGGGGGGAAAGGACATATTTTCTCCTGTCGCCCCATCTTTCTTTTTCTTTTCTTTTGTCGTCACAAATCCCATGAGGCGTCCAGGGTACAGGTACAGGGCCATGGCTAGGCTCGGGATGATACGGCTGCCTTTGGCATGCGAAGATCGTTCACGGAAACAGGAAGGACGACTAGCTAGATCGATAGAGATCACCAATCCAATTGCTCATCATGAATTGTGTATGGCCTGCAACAAATACGGGCGTGATGTATACGGGCTACTATCAACAATTCTGTTGGCCGACGACACGCAATCGCTCATCAATTGTGAAGGCTAGCCCAGTAAGAAGGCCGACAGAATTAGAGAAGCATCATGATATCAAATATGTTGTAAATGACTTTTGGTATTGATGATAGTGAACAAGGCTGAACACCCTGCCTTGGCCTCGTTACCACCAGGCATCCTCTGGCTGATTGCCCCCTCGCATAGATAGATGACAAGACTACTAGTAACACCGGGCAGTATAATTTCGTCGAGAACAGCCTCTCCGATGATGCTGAAACACGTGGAGACGCTTCATTCCCTTCATTCGTTATTTTCCCTGTTTTTGAACCAAGCCTTGACCTCCTCCCTACTCAGACGAACCAGGGTAGTCTCCTAAACCTCCCTGGACTGGACGACAGCGGCGACAATGTCACTGACGTGAGGCTGTGACGAAGATAACGACGGGTCGCCACCAGCCGCCCAAGACCAGCGCTGCAGGAGAGGCTTATCTCCCGCGCGCCAGGCGGCGCCAATCTGCAGCGTCGGCCGGTTATCGGGGCCGCTGTTGAGGATATCGAAGCGGATCTCGCGCGTTTCCGTGTCGATGTCGCGGATGGCGGTGCCGCGGACGGATTTTATCCACTCCGCGGGGGCGGGTTCCGAGGGGGGCGTAGACGGGTTGGACGGCTGCGGCGGCGGCGGAATGAGGGACATTGCGTGGTCTGTGAGTGCATGGGCTGCCGCGTTTGTGATATAGAGCTGGACGGAGGCTATGTCTGGGTACGGGTCGCGGGAAGGCGGGTAGGAGGACTGCAGGGTGTTTGGCGGTGGCGGCGCGGGCTGTTGCTCGCCATTTGACGGTTCGCTTTCTGCTGCTGTTCCTGCTGCTGCTGCTACGTTGGGAAGAAGTTGGAGTTGGAATTGTGTTGTTGTCAGCGGGAGGAGGAATGTGCGGCCGCGGATCTGGAGGCGGGAGGTCGGGGTCAGGGTCAGCTCGATCTGGAAGTCTGCTGGGGATGTGAGCATGTTTGTGAGTGCTTGTGAGGCGTTGGGCCGATTGGAGGCACCACCCGATGTGTTTTTCAACTCGGCGGTCGGGAAGGGAGGGGTGTTGAGGGTGAAGGAGGCGGCGTCGACGCCGGCTTGTCGTAGTACGCGGGTGAGGTCGCCGGCGAAACTGGTGACCTGCTCGACGGAGCGGTCGTAGAGGATTTTGGCGATGATGGGTCTAAGGAGGTGGTACTGGTTTTGTGTTTGGTTGCGACGTTGGTGAGGGGGCGTTGGCCGCAGTCGTTGTAGCTCATTTAGGCGATGAGCGTGGCTGAGGAGGATGTGCAGACCGAGATGCGTTGCTTCGGCAAGGACGTTGTCAGGCGATGCGCCGACGGTGGCGGCGCTATCCTCGAGGGTCTCGAGCTCCAGCGTCAAACTTGGTCCCGAGCTGGGGTGAAAGTTGATGGAGTTGTTATCCGCGCGGACTCCATACGAGGCGAGAGAGTGTGCTTCACGATGGAGCTCATGCCAGAGCTCTTGCGCAAAGATGGTGTTACGGGCCTCGAGGACGCGAGCCGGTAGCAAAGCCGAGTCCGGTACGGAGGCCCCAACAGCAAGACGACCACTCGGCTCGCCTGATCTGCTCACGGTGATGGCGAGACGTTGACAGCCGGATCCGACGCGGCCGTGCTGGAGAAGCGCTGAGCCGTCATCTCCGCGTCGCAATGGCGCGAGACTGCTATTTCTGAATTCAGGTGATGCTATGCATGGTCAGCTTTGTTCGATACTCGGGAATGGGACGAGGGCGCTTACCTTCTGAGAACCCGAATCTGACGCCGAGGGTATGTCGTTCCGCAGGCAGCCTGCACATGGACCATCCAGCCTGGTGTACGGACAGTACCTCACTCCAGTACTTTGCTTCACGCTCCACTTCCTTGCTCAAATGGGTTGCCGCCTTGTCGGCCGATTCCTTTGTCTTTTCGATATCGAGCAAAGCCCAACCTAGAGACACGTCGCGGTTGTCCTTTGCTTTCTCGGCGTCTCTTTGCTTCTGTTCTTCGTTATCTTCGCGCTTCGCGATACCGAGGGTTCCTATCCCGGTCCAGTCGCGCAGTTGCTGGGAGAGAGTGACACCTGCCTGCGCAGGGCTTTCTTTCGAGAGTAGTAATGAGATGAAGTCGAGGGTCATTAGGGCAGCATTTTGCGCGGTACTGGCGGCTCGCAATTAGCCATCATTCCTGAGAGAGTAGAATCTCTTTTAGGTAGAACCAACTCAATATTCCTCAGCACTTCCATCCGCGCGGCGCCGGCATCTAGTGGTTCCTCGTCCTCATCGTCTCCCTCGACCATTGTCGTGTCTTCCTCCTTCACCTCGCCGACGCCATTTTTCTTATTCTCGACCTCCTCCTTTAGACTTTCCTCGGTGACGTTTCGAAAGCCGCGCTCCGCCTGTACGCGGGCAATAAACTCGCCGAGGCTTTTTGGTTTGCGATCGCCCGTGGGTACTGGGTGGAGGGAAGAGAAGGGCATGGAGCTGCCCGACGCCATGGCGGGCAATTCGGGGTCGCGCGTCGATCTTTGATGGGTGTTTCCGAAGATTCGAAGTTTGTGGAGTCAGAAAACTATAACGTGCGCTGCATGGCGTGGAGGGAAGTTTGCGTCTCGAATCGTGGTGAGGCTGTACGTAGTAGTGCGAGGCTGGTGGTTGAATGAGAGCAAGAGCTATGGATTGGTTGGAGCCACCGAGCCGGTCCAAGCTCCACCGACTGACCAAAGGGTGCGCAATTTCGGTGAAGCCGCCAACTCACCGAGCGTGACCGAGTTAAACTCACTTTCAATAAGCCGTGGCGGCCGCACCTCTCGAATTTGGATCATACTCGAAGGAATCATACTCATAGTTTCCTAATCTAGCTACCAGTTCTACTCGATAGGATGCGCCGAGATCTAAAAGGTGCCTGATGTCATAGCATGGGCTTGCAAGCAGTCATGAGAATACTCATTGCCATCGCATAGTCTATGACAGGACCGATCGGATAATGGGACCTCGGGATCTCATGGCAGATTCATTGCAGAGTCACTACTCTGTAGGTTTAAGACATACCAACGGCGGGAAGATCGGAAGCATGTCACTTCGGCATTCCTGCGCGACCGTGGTTCGGCTTTCCCGGGGGTGACCCAACTGATCTAGAAATTTAATTCAGATTTCGCTGTCAGATAGAGACGCTGCATTTTGGACTCTAGTATGATTTGTGCTGTGTAAGTGTGTGTGATCGCCGTCGACTCTGACTGACGACTGGCATTTCTGAGTCGACGATTGAACTTAACTCAATGCGGGCGATGCTAACCCAGCAGCTCCACACCTGATGACGTCCGATTCACAGTGTTCATGGGTGAAGAACACGAAAATGAGGTGGACTTGATCTTGCGTGATTCCGGATTGTTTACAGCTCAAAGTCCTCATTATCTCACCACAATGTTCAGCCGTGACGTTGGTCGTGATGGTAGAAATGAAAGGTTCGGCGAGACTGCTGAATAGCGAGGCCGAGATATCTCGAGTTCGCCTTGATGATGTCGTGATGTCTGGTTGCACCACTTTGGATGAGTATAGGTGTCGGACGACTTATGAGTTGATATGTTGATCTGAAAGATTCACCGTTGTCGCCGTCGCCGGGACTTCGGAGGTTAATCCTTGCATCCCTGCGAGAGTCCGGCCCTCCACTGGGAGCGAGTCAATGGCTTATGGACCGAGTGACAAGAGGAATGAATGCAGTTTGGATAGAGCTAGGAATATAGGCGCACAGTCTAATAAACCAACATGGAGCGCTCTTGTGAGTAAGCGGGCATATAGGAAATAGGTTCGCTATACCTAGACGATAGCATGTGATCATACGCTGGTAAGATTTTCTATAATGTTGTTGACTTTAATAGCAAATTTACAGAGAGGCGTGCAGACAAAGCCCCCACCTCATGGATTGCCTGACATTCTCATCGAGTCCTTGCACCGGCCGTCGGCCTGCCCCGCACTGGAGCTCGATGGAGGGGCATTTTTGGGAGGATCCATTGGTAACTTGGTGCAAGTCTGGACCTGGCAACTGAGGTGGATTTTGGTGCGACTTGTGCAAGGAGCCCAGAATAAGCCCGAGATGGGACGCTGGAAGAGGCCGAGTGAACCTTGCTTGGTGGTTTAAAACCCCTCACCGGCGACCGGAGTAAGAGCGAGAAAAAAACACACGACGGAGACCAGTCACCAGTCAGTCGACGGATTGAGACTCCAGTCGTAATATTCCCAGTATTTCCCTCACTCACCAATGGGTGTAGCGCGAAATAGCTTGACACACTGCTATTGTCGCAGCAAATGAGCGATTAAGCCAGCCATCCCAAGTTAGGTAGACAGACAGCGCCAATGTAGACGGTTGCGGTTGGAGAAGCTTCTGCAACACATCGCTGATCGAATCCCTCCAGCAGGTTCAGCTGAAGAAAAACATCGAGTACCTAAGGTACCTTAGGTTAGGTAGTCCACTGTAACCGGGCTGGCCAGTAAGACCGTTGCATCGTTCCTAATTCAGCAACGTGAACGGTTTCCCATAGGCTCGCTGTGACACTGGTGCCCTGCTCCTGTGACGATGCTGTGCGGTCTCTGAGGCTTTTGGACTGTTTTAATTCTGTGAGGTGGGCTTGGCTGACCTGAAGCTCCCCCGCGCCAAGATAAGGACCCGATAAGAATTGGGCGGGTTGTTTTTGGAGGGCACCTCACTCAACGTCACTGCGCGGGCTCACTGTTGGGGGAGGATGGAGGGGTCGAATCATGGGTGGATTACCTCAAGGTAAGTACCTAAGTAGGTAGGGAACCTACATGTGGTGAGCTGAGGTGAGGTCCAGTGTGGTAAGGTACCTAAGGTAGGTAACCTGGAAAGTTACCCCCTCCCGTTCCGCGTGTAATTTTTCTGCTATTTTTTCGAGGTGCGGGTGCTTCAAAGTGGCTCCGACGAACTTGGTCCCCCGCCATTAAACCTGTCTCGTCTTCTTTGCGCAGTGCGAAGCGTGAGGTGTCCCACGCTATAATTATCTGGCACACCAAACGGCCTTTTTTTCTGCGGCGTCCCCCTCCGTCCCCAAGCCCGGCCAAGTGTGTCTCGCAGCTTCCCCCCCTTCGACCTATTCCTGTTCCACGTCCAAGCTCCAACCACCACACAGCTTCTTCCAAGCACTTGGCGCCTGCCTCGTCTCGCCTGGAACTTCATGATCTTATCCTCTCTCCCTCTCTCTCCCTCCCCATCTTCTCTGCCTCACATTCCTACTCACTCTCCCTCCCTGATTCCGCACACGGCCGGTTAGCTCGTACCATCATCCCTTGAACATCTTACCTCCAGCTCCGTAGAGTATCCCCTCCACACCAAACCTCGACCGACGGACCTTCAGACCCTGTATACGGTCACCTCCGCCCTCCTCCGCCTCCCTCCTCCCGTTGACTCCGAAGTCCCGACCACCTACGAACATCACCACCCCAACTACTCTCCGCCGTAGCCATGGCTCCCACGGCTGCTAAGAAGAAGATTGCCATCATGACCTCGGGAGGTGACTCCCCAGGCATGAACGGCGTAGTCCGCGCCGTAGTCCGAACCGCACTTCACATGGGATGCGAACCCTACTGCATCTATGACGGATACGAAGGCTTGGTAGTAGGCGGAGACCAAATCAAAAAGGCAGAATGGGGTGATGTGCGCAACTACCTTGGCCAAGGCGGTACTCTGATTGGAACCCGCCGCTGCATGGCCTTCTACGAACGACCCGGCCGCTTGACTGCTGCCAAGAACATGATTCTCAACGGAATTGATGCCTTGATCATTTGCGGTGGTGACGGTTCCCTCACTGGTGCTGACAAGTTCCGCGCCGAATGGCCTTCTTTAATTGAGGAGCTCGTCTCCTCCGGCCAGCTCAAGAAGGAGCAGGTTGACCCCTACAGACACCTCAACATTGTCGGTTTGGTTGGATCCATCGATAATGACATGTCTGGCACCGATGCCACCATTGGATGTTACTCTGCCCTCGAGCGCATTTGCGAAATGGTCGACTACATTGAAGCTACCGCCTCGTCCCACTCGAGAGCTTTTGTTATCGAGGTCATGGGCCGCCATTGCGGATGGCTGGCTCTTATGGCCGGTGTTGCGACAGGCGCCGACTTTATCTTCATCCCTGAGAAGCCTAGGGAGGAGAACTGGGAGGAAGAAATGTGTGATATTGTAAAAAGAGTAAGACTGGAAATCCTAGCACCAGCAGTAGCCAAGACGACGCTGACAGGCTGTAGCACCGAAGCTTTGGAAAGCGCAAGACTATTGTCATCATTGCCGAGGGCGCCAACGACAGCAACGGCAAGAAGATCACATCCGACATGGTCAAGGATCTGCTCGCAGACAAGAACGGGCTTGCTCTGGACACCCGCATTACAACACTCGGTCACGTTCAGCGTGGCGGTACTGCCGTTGCCTACGACAGAATGTTGGCTACCCTCCAAGGTGTGGAGGCTGTTAAGGCCGTTCTGGAGGCTACCCCCGAGACCGAGACCTGCTTCATCGCCATCAACGAAAACCAAATCTGCCGCAAACCGCTGATGCAGGCTGTCAAGGATACCAAGGAGGTTGCGAAGGCGGTTGACGAGAAGCAGTTCGAAAAGGCAATGGGTCTCCGCGACACTGAGTTTGCCGAGATGTTCAGCTCTTACATGATGACCACAAACGTCAGAGTAGATGACCACCATCTGCCGGAGAAGGAGGTTTGTGAAGTTAGCTTCGATTCCAAGAGAAAAAGAGAAACTGACAATCTCGCAGAGAATGAAGATTGGCTTCATCAACGTCGGCGCCCCTGCTGGTGGTATGAACGCTGCTGTGCGCGCTGGTGTTGCTTACTGTCTTTCGCGCGGCCATGAGCCCGTCGCCATCCACAATGGCTTTGCCGGATTCGCTAGGCATCATGGCGATAAGCCCGTCGGAGCCGTGCGACCTTTCGACTGGCTTGAGGTTGACAGCTGGGCCAGCAAGGGAGGATCAGAAATCGGTACCAACCGAGAGCTCCCTGCAGAGTCGGGCATGGAGCTCATCGCCAACCTGATTGAAAAGTACGAGTTTGATGGTTTGTTCCTCGTCGGTGGCTTCGAGGCCTACCACGCCGTTTCGCAGTTGCGCAAGGCCAGAGAGCTCTACCCCTCTCTGTGCATTCCCATGGTTCTCCTGCCAGCTACGATCTCCAACAACGTTCCTGGATCAGAATACTCTCTTGGTTCCGATACTTGCTTGAACGAGCTCGTGCAGTACTGCGACAAGATCAAGCAATCCGCTTCCGCCACGCGTCGCCGTGTGTTTGTCGTTGAGACACAAGGCGGCAAGTCTGGATATATCGCGACTCTTGCCGGCCTCAGCGTCGGTGCGAGCGCTGTCTATACGCCAGAGGAGGGTATGGACCTCGAAATGCTGGCCGCAGACGTTCGCCATCTCCGCGAAATCTTCTCCAAGGACAAGGGCCAGTCGTCGTCTGGACGCTTGATCCTCATCAACGAGAAGGCCGACGATGTGTTCAACGCCAAGCTCATCGCGGACATCATCCGCAAGGAGGCGCGCGGCCGATTCGAATCCCGCGACAGTATCCCCGGACACGTCCAGCAGGGTGGCGTTCCCTCGCCCATGGACAGATGTCGTGCCGTCAGACTGGCAATCAAGTGCATGCAGCACCTCGAGGAATTCCGTCCCAAGTCGCATAACAGGTGTAAGAGGGATCCCATGAGCGCCTCTGTCATTGGTATCAAGGGTGCCAGCGTTACCTTTACGCCCATCTGGGATCTCGAGGACCACGAGACGGACTGGAAGAACCGTCGGCCCAAGAACGTTCACTGGGCGCACATGGGCGACGTGGTCAACATGCTGTCCGGCAGACCTCTCCACCACACACCGGAGAAGCCAATCACCGGCCTCAAGGCAAAGGACGTCAAGAGAGGCCTCGACGATTAAAAGTCGCCGCAAGAGGCGACGTGCAAGGTGCAAGCGAATAGGCGCTGCTTTAATACAAGGAGAAAAAACTCAATACAATGGGAAAGGAACGGGTGCTACTTGATTCAAGCTGGGGAGATGTGGCGCGTCGGGGTTTGGCTTTGATTATTACCTAGGGAATCTTGATGAAATGCATTTTCTATTAGACTAGACGATATCGCACCCCTCCCCGCATTGCATGACCCATGAGAGTGAGACTGGCTGGAGTGGGATTTTGAACTTTTCCGTCTTCAAGGTGACCCGGTCGTCTGGCCCCTCGACCTTGTAACCTTGCAGACATGGTAGAGCGAAAGAGTATCGAACCCCGTTTCGGGGCAACATCTCCGCCCCTAGGAAGCGTGGTCTAGAACCTCACAGTCGTCCAGAGACTAGTCTCAACGGCCGCCCGTCCCAAGTCCGAGGCGTGGAGAATCAGTCCGAACGATGGTGGGTGTGCGGGTACAGATACACTATATTAATCCGTAGATAGGTACGTAACAATAGTCTATAGACAAGATGGACGGGATATGGACGGCGAACGAATATGGCTCGGTTCGGACGAACCATGAGCTCTCTCGTCCGCGCTTTTCTCGTCCCATTTATCGAATCCCGGATCCTGGAAGCCTTCTGATGGCGAGCTTTTAGAGAAGCGCATTGATCCCTGCGAGCGGTTTCTTCATCGAGGCACTTACAGGTTGGTCGAGGTTGGCTCACGGACGAGTCTAGGTTATGATAGCCTATCTATCTGCTTATCTCTCATCCGGATACAGTCCGAATCGTCATCTCCAAGAAACCTGAATCTCCCGGAGTCGGGGGCAAACCGAAATATACCCCGTTGCAGGTTACGGGTTAACATTGGTCACATGGCGACGGCAGTCAATGGCCCGTGGGCTCCAATGGACCTCATTCACAGTCGCATACACACCTCTAGAGAACGGACGGGAGGGGGGATCCTTCCCGTTTGGAAAAGGGTTGAAATACGGATGCCACAATAGATAAGCTTACCTGGGTAAGTTGGTGAATGCTGCGCTGGGCTGATGTCAGAAGAAGAGTGACAAGGGGGTGGCGGTTGGTGTTGATGTGATGTGAAGTGATTTGACTGGCTCCCGTTCTCAATGAGCAATGATCAGCCGCTGCTGAGCGCACAGCGGTCCATCTCTGACCATAGTTGCAAAGCGTCAGAGGAATTCCCGGTTTTCAGTTAGAATGAACGAGAAGCTGAGGATTTGGAGGGGAGCAAAAAAGCAAAGATTGTCTCTATTTCGCCCCCTCGGCAGCGAACAATCACTGATCAGGCTCTCTGCGGCTGAATGATTCGATTTGGGGGCCGTTGATTACTACGCGAGAGGAGGCATGTGGCCAAATTGTCTGTGTCTTTCGTATGGGCAATCCGGGGGAAATCAGCGTAATGGTTTTTCCACGTCTTGAATTCCAGCCACGAACCAGAAACCGAAGGTCCCCCAGAATCTGAAGGAACAAGACATCGCACGAGTCCATGGAGAGTTGACAATGGAAGCCACAAGGTTTAGGGCGAACCTGGTCGTTCGCATGGTGGGGAAGGGTGGGCGCTCAGTAAGCACCACCTGTAGGCTGTGAGATAGTATGGAGTAGTTCTGGCCCCATCTTAATGTGGTTTCCCCTAGGCTCGGAGGAGAGATTTGCGGGCTGGGGTTGCAGCGCAGGCTTTAAGCTCGCTCCAAGGAGGTAAATCGAAGCGAGAGACCATTGGAAAAGGAAAAAGGCCTTTCTGGCTCCCAACCCTGGGCAACATCCCATGGTTTCGGTCCTTGACTCCCTGTTCATGGCCCAAGAGGAGGTTGGTTCTGTGTTGTGTTGTGCCCATTGAGAGACTGAGCGAGTTGTAGGTCAGATCCATCACCTTTCCTAAAGCCTTCCAGCAAGTGTTGTCTCCAGGGGACGAATCGATGAATGAGAGGCCCTCTTCGGTGCTTGTGCTGACGGCAGAGTCGTCAGGGCCAGGCAGCCGCACTTGGCCCCCTACGGATATCTCGTCAACCACCGTCGTGGTGATCAGCTGTACCTATACGGGCGTTGACATCTTGTTGGCTCTGGATCAAGCAAACTAACCAAGCCCTACCGACAACGCCACAACCGAACTCTTAAAAGCTAAACCCATGCGGACACCATCACACTTTAGGCTTGGCTGGTATCTTTGTTCAAGACCCTTGACCACGGCATAGGCCTTGTTTGTCAATGTCTTCTTCATAAGCGTTGCCTGTCTGCCCAATGGCCGGTCTTCGCCCCCGAAAGCCCCACGCGACTTCCCATACCGATGGCTGTGTCAGCGACATGGGGTTGATCAACAAACGGGCTGAAAATTGTCTCTGAGCCAACGAGCTTTCAAGTCGTCCGTGGAAGCAGAGCGATGGGACCCTTTGCCTTGTAGGCTCTTCTGGGGGTCACGCTACTGCAAGTCAGGTTGCTGCGGTTGAGCTTCCCGAGTTGGGATTGAAATGCAACTGAGCATCACGGAAGCCCGGTTCAATACATCCCCGCCGGAAAATTGCATGGGGCGGATGGTGATAAACCCAGCGATCCCCGAGTCTGAGCGGCAACCAACTCCTTCGCGTCTCGTTATTCCGCCCGTGTCAATTTTTCACCACGACTATTAGGTCCCGGCCTATCGAGATTACCGAGTCCCTCTTGCGAAGTTGAATAGCCATTAGCAAGAATCCAGACATTTCTCAGCGATAGCCTTGGCGGTCGTCCGCCGTAGCCGTCTGTGTTCACCAGCTTCCATGCGGTATTCTTCCCAATAATGACGAGATCCTATGGAACTCTCTTGGGGGTGTTGCTCCTCTTGTCCTCTCCAGTATCGTGTCTTACGGCATGGTGGACAGAAGTGAGTCCCCATCTGGCGTTCCAAGACCCTACGACGGGCGATATTCAGTACACTGCTTGCAATAGCAACTCCACGCCCATCTTGCCAACAGATGGGCTCAACATCTTTCTTCTCCAGAGAAAGCCGAGGCTTGGCACCTCTATCGCCGCTGCTGGATGGTACGATGTGTCGAAGAAGACGACGATTGTAAGTCTCTTCTGGCTTCACGATGCGAAACGTCGCAACTGACCTCTCCTTCCAGGCCTCAATTTTCTACCAGACCGACGATAACTCCATTGTGAACGGCTACTTCACCTGTAATTTCGATACGGGCCATTACGCCATCAAGGGCGAGTACGTCATCTCCGCAACGGCCGGACTCGAGTCCATACACAACCAGACCGGCCTAGCCGTCGAGCTACTGGGTGCGGATGATGGATATCGCGTCTTCTTTCACGATGAAGCAAAGACGGTCAATGTTTTATCGTACACGACCAAGACCGACTGGCAATTGCAGGGGCCAATTTCGCAGGACCCCGTAGGAGGAATGGCCTTGACCTCGGTACACTCGGGGCAGCTCAACATGTCTGTTGTCTTTCCCAAAGACTCGGAAAATGTCGAAATATCGAGGTTTTTCAAAGACGAGATGTGGCGCCTTGGTCCGTTTCCCCCATTGTTGTTGTTGTTGTGAGTTATGCACTTGCTGACCATCGCAAAGCTACGCTGCCTCGCCCACTCTTAGGGAACGCAAATGAATCGACGGTAGCAGTCGATATCCACCTCGATTCGACGCTTACTCCGAACTTCACCATGCCAGCTTTCGCAAGTAACCTGACGTCGCTAGGCGCAACGGTGGATAAAGCATATGTACGCAGCATCTTCTACCTGGGAACAGATGCGAAGCTGCATCAAATGTCGAACATCGATTGGCAGTGGAAGCTCATGCCTGACCAGGATGCACGTCTCTGGCCTGCTGCCGATGTTGCGAGTGGCTCTTTCGCTACAACAAGTAACTTTGACACTAGCGAAGCGTGGATATGGTACCAATCAAACGGGAGCCTGGTTCAGTTATACCATGCTGAAGATGGTCTTTGGAAACAAGCCGTGGTGGTCCCCAGCTTCAACGCAACAAAGGCGGTCGAAGAAGAGCCCCAGGGAACCGCAACGCCTTCAGCTTCATCGACGGCCACAGCGAAACCAGTTGTCTTGTCGACCGGAGCTAAGGCTGGCATAGGGATTGGCGTTTCCTGTGGAGTTGTTGCGCTTGCTGGAGGCATCCTCCTCCTCCTAGTGCGGAGAAGGCGGCAACGGGCAGCCGAGACCGCCGAGGCAGCTCGTCTGAAGGAAGCCGAAGCTGTTGCTCAAATGGGACCGTACGGCGAAGGCGGAGTGGGCCCATATACGGAATTCGGAAACTTGACGTGGGGTCCCGAGACGCCGAATGAAAAACACGGCACCGAGATACTCGAGGCAGATGCGGTGGATACAACCGCACCACAAGAACTAGCCAATGGAGGCGAAAGATACGAGCTCGTTGGCGAGGGCCATTGGAGAGAGATGGACGCAACAGGGCAAAACAAAGCGAGGAGAAGTATCGGAGGGTGGAGAGAGGCGCAAAAGGCGGCTGCGGAAAAGTAACGAGGGCGTGAATAATGAAGCCACGTAGTAATAAATGACCATAATGATTAAAGACTATATCGAATCGCGTTCAAGGCACCGTGCCCGAGGGCAGCTGCAGGTCTAGTAACGTTGTGTCAGGGCGTGTCAAATATGCATCGATTTCAGCAAAGTCGTCTGTTCGTTTCCAATATGATAGCTGCCGGCTTATACGACCAAACTACCTTTTCTTGGCTCTGAGGGTTCCCAAACACTTGGCCATGTGTCTTGTGGTGCTCAAGTCGGGGCACGAATAATCAGGAGAGTATGCGAACTTGCTGAGGTCGGTATCAGGTCGTGAAGGCTTGAAGTATGTCGAGCTCGATATAGTGATTCACGCTGTGAATATGATCTCTGCGACAACTCTAGCTTTTTGGATGCAGCAAACCATGGCGAGCACATGATGGTCGAAGTCCGGGGGATTCAAAGCTCCAAGGGACAGAGTGGACGAGAGTATCATGTTCAATAGTGGCTCGTGCCAAGTCAAGACGAAGCTCGCTGCTACTGGAGAAGGGTGGTGTTCGAGGCTGAAGTCGTCCCGAAAAGGGAGAGATGGGATTTGGGGTGTATGAAGACCGGGTCATGTCTCAAGATGGTATGGGAGGCTACTCCATATGGGAGCATCGCGTGGACGGCCCGGGTGATGGCATGTCTCTCTCCAGGGTCTTCCGGGACGTCGGGACGGCCCAATCAGGGATGGCAGTTCTGCCATGTCCCCAACGTCCGCATTGAGGTATTGAGGGTTGGAAGCGGGCGAATCGAAGGCGACCTTTTTTGGCTTCCCTTCAGAAGGAGCTTCGGGTGAAAGACTGGGCGAGCATATTCGCATCTATCAGCTAGTCAGACTGTGTGAGTCCTTGGGCGTAACTGATGGGTCGGTCCTGACGATCAGGCTGTGACTGGAGCAGCAATATCCTGGCACAGTCGGTGAGAGCCGAACCTAAGCCTAACTGCGGAGAATTGGCGGGAACCATTTGACGACACATGGCTTGAACTGTCCGGCTACCGGAATCTTGCTCTGCGGTCACAGTGTTGGTTGGGCGATAGCTGTTCCCGAATGTTCATTTGAGATGGCGATCAAGCCTGGGGAAGCTAGTTGTGGCTCATCATAACTCATGGTTTGCAAGATGAATGAATGCGACGTGATGATGGAAAGTGTCTGGTTTAACAGGGAACATTCTTCTTAGAACAGGACGAATATGTGTTCCCGTCTAGAGAGAAGGCCCGGCAGTTGTCGGGAATCCAGAAGTGGCATCGCATGGGACGGCAAGCACGAATTGGAAGTGATTCTTTCTCTGTCTTTACAATTGGTGTCCAAGGAATTCCTTGGCGTAAGAAGGAGAAGCAAAAGTGGGCAGAGGGCGGGGCAGAGCCGACAGGAAGGTCAAGGTGAGGTGAATGGTGAAATGCGGCAATGCAGTACGGAGTACGGAGTAGTAGAAGGGAAGGAGTGACTGGCCGGGGTGGATGCAGGATTGCGTCAGTGCCTTTTCTGGCGATGAGTTTTCAGAGCAGGTGCGAATGTGACGGGGCTGGGCACGGCGGATGGAGGGGGAAAGAGGAGGGGGAGGGGAATGGCCCGAAGGGAAGGTGGGAGGGGAGACACTGGCTGGACGGGACTGCCAAATGCAGGGAAGGCGCGAGCAGCTGTCAAGTTACTGCGCAGGTTGTCAAGACTCAAGAGCGTCGAGAGCTTTCCCGTCCCCTCTTGCGTTTTCGAAATTCAGAGTGTGCTTGTGACAGTGACATGGTGACTAGTGACGATGACTGGTGGATAGCGGATGGGAAAGATTGATTGGAAAGAAGGAGCGAGAAAAGTTGGACAACGGCCAGTCCAAGCTCCACTTTCCCATCGTCTTAGCTTCCCGCCATCCTTCCACAATTAGGAGCTTTTCCTTATGTACGGTGGTACACGACAGGCTCTCGCCGTCCCCTGTTTCAACCGGACTTCCCAAGCAATAGCAGAGATACAATATGATCTAAAATCAGGTCTTTGGGGTTCTCAAGCCAACTTCATGCGCACTTTGGCCGCGGACTTTTCAGGAACACAGAGCTCCATCATCCTAAACTTGGGGTGTCATTGAGAGACACGATGGAACGCTGGTGGAAGCAGCCGGACCAGGCTGTCTGTCTGCAATAAAGAGACATTTCAAGGACTGGCAGTGACGGCCGCGACTGGCGTGCCTTCTATCTTTCCTGCCATACCTTACGGTAAAGTACCATGTAGAACAAGGTTCCTCGGTTATGGAAGAAGAAGGGCGAGGCAGGAGCCAAGGCCATATCTATCACATCGATGCTTTAGGTACTCAGATTTGATGACTCCTTCGACAACGGCCAATCCAGAACACCAAAGCCTTTCTCGGGCGGACACTCGAGCTGTAGACGGAATGCGGGATATCAAGATGCCTCTCTTTAAACGGAGTAGTAAAGTATACTTCCTGCACCCAGCCTGCAAGTCACAAGTCAAGCAGACAGGCAGTCATTGGGCACCAGAGATCGGTGAGAAACCAGGCGCCCATTTGCCCTCTTGTCAGCCCAATGAATGCCCAGGAAGCAACTCCTCAGCTCAGCTGCACCACTGCCACTGCCACTGCCAGAGCCCAAGTGGATGCCTCCCGATGCAATCAAGTGGATGGTTGACGACTTGACTGAATGAGAAGACAGAACAAGTCCCAAGATCTCCTTTCTCTGCATCTTCCATGCCTTTCCTTCGGCTTACCACCAGCTAGCTGCCCGTCATTCATCACCATCTGCTACGTACCTTACCTTACGGATAGGTATGCTTCGCCCGTCTCCAGCTGCTGCAAGTCGCAACCTATCGACATCTTTCCGTTTGCTTTTTGTTGGCCCAGCCCAACCGTAGCGCAGCCTGCATTGTTGATTCCCGGATCGCTGGAGCCTTGTTCCATTTTCCCCATCTTCTTCCGTTTCTACCTTATTCGACTGGGCATTCGATCGTCGTTAAGGGCTCACGATAGGGCACCCATTGTCACCGCCACACATGCAACTCCAAACACAAAGTTTGACATCTGAATGTCGTAGTCTGTATAACACTGCCGTCCGCAAACTTTCAAATCCCAAATTCAGCCCAAATTGCTCTAAACTAAAGTGTACACACGCGGGTCCTAACAGGGCCTCGACACCCTCCGTTCTCTTTGCGACGGCATCCCTACCGTCCCGCTTCCCGCAGCAACATAGACAAAACGTCGGGAACACCCCTGCTCAGTGACAGCGGTTCACCGCGCGGCGCTTGCCCACAGCTGGGACTGGCCTCGACTCGAGCTTGACAGACTTCGACCGCTCCCGCTCTGTAATAAGCCTGTAGTGAGCAAGAGCGGCTTTCAACTTTTGAGCCGGCCAACCCCTCCCATTTCCATTACTCTCCCGTCCCTCTCTCTCTTCACCCCTCCACTCCCAGTCCCCATCCACCAAGGCCAGAGTGAGATCCCCCACGAACCTCCAAGGACCACACACATACAGCCTGCTGGTGCCGCCCTATATCACCTGTCGGCTGTCTTAATTACATACCACCTTGCCTACTTGCCTACCTACGTCCTACATACATACATACCCGGCTCTCCTACTGTGGTATGACGACGTTGTTCCTACTCTGACTCTTTTCCCTCTCACCTCTCTCTCTCTCTTTCTCACTCACTCACCCCCTTCTCTTCACCCCCTCTTCCTCAGCCGGCGCAGCTCTAGGCTCGGCCTCAGATTAAAGTACCTCTTCCACTACCACACATCTTGTGTCGCTCATTTCCAGCGCTACAAGACTCGTTTGGTTCATCCTCTTTTCAGCGTCGCCTTGTCTGTTTGCGCAGGATCTTGGTGTATCGTCTTGTCTAGTTTCGGTAACACTCACGCTATCACCTGCGCTACACAATCACCACCGGCTTACTACCCCGCCATTCATCCCACCTGTTCAGATAAACTCACAAACAAACACTCACGGACGCCCATCCGTCACACCTCTCCTAAACCGAAAAGCCGTTTGTGTTTCGCCAACAAAACATGGCTCACCGGTCCAACGACTTTGAGGAGCGTTTCTACGACGCCCCCCGCCGCCAGCGCGCCGAGAGCCGGGTTGCTTTCGACGAAGTTGATGTTCGCGTTAGGGAGCGCGAGCGTGAGCGAGAAGGTGACCGCCTCCGCTTCCTGCGCGATGAGCGTCCTCCCGAAGCCGGAGCCCTTGTTCTGAGTCGCAGAGAGGTTGAATCAAGAGAGCTGTCACGGCCTCGCGCCCGCAGCCCTAGCCCTGTTTACCGCGAGCGGGTTGTACGCAGAGCCCGTAGCTTGACACCTCCGCACGTTCATCATGAGCAAGAGCTCGAGCGCTCCCGAGTCCGCGTCACTGAGCGCGAGCGAGAGATTCGCAGTCCGTCCCGCGGCCCTCCTCCAGAGATGATCCGCGCTCGATACGTTGAGAGGCAGCGCTCACCCTCTCCTCCTCCTCCTCCTCCACCAGCCAGAGAGCGCAGCCGCGTTGGCGTGCGCATTGTCGAGCGTGAGAGGGAAAGAGAGCGAGTTCCCTCCCCCTCGCCCTCACCGCCACCACCACCACCTCAACCTCAGGTCATTCGCGGCCCCACGATCGAAAGAGAAGTCATTACGCACTACAGAGACATCGATCATGGTGAGTACAAGGACAAACTGCAGGAAATAAGACCACCGCGAGGTCTAATGCATCCAGGTGTTACCCGCGTGCCCAGCCCGCCGCCTCCCCCTCGTCCCGCTCCCCGCCCTAAGACCCGCACCGAAGAGCGGGAGCTGGATATCGATATCACCACCTCCCGCAGAGGAACCGACATTGACATTCACCGCTCGCAAAGCCGCCACCGATCTCCTAGCAGGGAGCGCCGATCCCCTGCTTTCCAGGACAGCAGAGAACTCGTCGTGAGCACCGACCGTCTCCGGATCGACGACCGTCATTACCACAGCGGGTCACGCCGTAGAGCTCACTCTGCGGCCGCACGCACGCCCGTCGATGAGGAAGCCGAGTACATCACCTCCAAGATCGACTCACGCGGCAAGATGGGCGAGGCCTGGAACGGTGCCACCAAAGACTGGTCCATTGTCGACGTCCCGCCCGGTACAGAGCGTGTCCGTATGGACGGCGTTGGCGGTGGCTCTGCCGAGGTCACTTGGCAGCGTTACAACGGCGTGAGGCGGGCACAGTTCATTCCCGAACGGGACGGTGCTCCCATTTCGGCGCCGGCCCCACTTCCCGCGGAGCCCTCCCCGCGAGAGTCCCGAGACCGCCTCAGCCTGCAGGTTTATGACCGCGAGACTGAGATCGAGATTGAAAAGACAAAGGATCGCGCTCCGCGCCGCGGACCTCCATCCAAGCGCAACGAGATGTGGACTGAGATCACAAAAGACCTGGTTATTCGCGATGCCATTATTCAGCTTGGATATGATTTCGAGGAGACTGAATACTTTTTCTACATTATGCAATACCTGAAATACGTAAGTTTTGTCTCTCTGATGTTAGTACGGTCAGATTACTCACCAATACAGGATGATGTGCTTGAATTGGTGCAGGTATCCGACGATATCCGCCGCTTCCGCAAACAGCGTGTCCGCGAATATGAGAGGGAGTGGGTGCATGATGACTGGGACCGCCGGTCTTCTCATCACCATCACCACCGCGGACCAAGCAGCAAGTACGATGATGAGCGAATCTACGAGCGCGAGGTCGTCTACGACAGCCAGCGTCCCCGACGTTATTAAGCATTGCATAAACAACAGCACAAGTGAGCCCAAGAAACATACAAATCGAATACCCAGCCGACATTCGGCAACTTTGAGGGGGCCTGAGACAGGCACGCCTTACATTTGGATTCGGACTACAGAACATATCATTTTCGGGATGGGATGTGCTGCATTAGAGAAACCGGATCTGCCGGGCGGGCAAATGTGTGTCTTTTACTTCACTTTTTTCCACTCAACATGTGGGGATTTCTGCCTAGCACCATGTGTAACGATTTATGAATACAACATAGCGGCGGAGGAATAGGGCGGAGTTTAGATTGTATTAGGAGCAAATAACGAACTTATGACTCAAATTTCCCAAACTTAGCTGCTTGAGTGACTGAAACCTCGCATTCGATGTTCTCTGACGCTTCTTGTGTATATGTTTGGCCGGCCTGGCGCAGGATTCCCCGCCTGCAGTGCCCGGAGAAGACAAGACGAGCTTGGTCAAGCTGGAAGTTGAGCAGGGCTCATTGTGTTTTCATCTGACAAGCATGAGTGAAGCGGGTTTCTTGCGTCTCCTTTCGATTCTTGTATATGAAGTGATGTCAGGGCCTCGGTTAACAACCACCCTTTTAAGGTCTGGATCGTATAATGAGTTTAGAACCACATGCCGCCATACTGGAAGAGGCAGGACAGTCTCCGGGCAGCAGCTTTCTTCTCCTATGGTGTAAAGTGTAGAGTACTTAAAGTGGCAGCGCTACCGCTTAGTACAGAAATTGAACGCAGGCACCGAGACATTGCTGTGTAGCTGATGGATGTACATCCTAGACGTCCTTGCCTGGCTCATAAGGTAGCCCAGTGCGTCTGATGTTTCTCTGGACGTGGTCACTACGACGTAGCCACGAACAGGAGAAGGATCCCTTAGTCAGTCTCTTGTCTCCTTCGGCTGGGTATTCAGAAGTGAATGGTTATGGTGGAAGAAGTAGGCGACGGGGTGCGTTAGAGACCTGGCTTTGATCCGAATGTGGAACATATGTGTGTATCTTTTACTAATCTCGTCACTTATCAGTCGCATTCCCAGATTCATCACATGGGTATTGACGTAGAGATGTTGAAGCGCAATCATCCCTGCTTGCAAATCTCTTGAGAGATGGCAGGGAATCGGGTCTTTTTATACCGTAACCGTAAGACATGTAGAATCCTACCCAAGGTACATGTACTGCAAAGGGCTCCGGTGACGCGAAGCTTGGCTCCCATATTTCAAAGGGCGAGAGTGCCCCCTCGATAGCGCCAGAGTCATCCCGGACGGTTGATGTTTCTTCCACGAGCGGATACATAGATATGAGAAGGCAGCTCTCAGTTATTGCTCCTTACCTCCACGAACATTCCAGGTTATCTTCTTGATTCAACTACGTTAGACCAGGAGGCTATGAGGATCGCAAGGGTTCAGTGCGCGGCCTTTAGACTGTTCTCTAACGAGTGTACTACAAGGTGCTTTGTGGTCTCATCCTGATTATTATGTACTTGTATCCGTTGACTGGATCAGGCCAACTTCAGATACTTGGCACCATGAAGAAAACTAGTTTAGCAGCAGGCACAAAACATCTAGACACCAGAAACAATCGCAACATTACAACGTCTCATTCACTGACGCCTATCTAGCACTAATGGGCTACTCGCTCGATCGAGCCTGTGCTCTCGACGTCAACATGAAAATCCCCTTTCAGTCCTTCGTAAACGTCGACAGCTTTTGACGACACAAGACAAAGCAAATTAGAGTGATGTACAGCATCCTCGCCTTTGGGCGGGAAAGGTTCATATGAGTTTAGTCTCATCAGTAGGGTATGAACTTGTAAGAACAAACATTGAAACGCCAAGACAACAAGTAAGACATCTGCTGGCGATCGAGTCTCCAGAAGCAGTGTTACATATGTATGCAGACAGCTTCTCATAATGTCACCTGACAACATAGGTCAGATCTGCCGTTTACAAGAGCAAAATTTACCTAGCAAGGTCAGCTTCCCATTTCGGCATCACGGGCATCTCCCAGAGACTCACTTGCGAGAGCGACTGGCCCGCGCCGACTTGGGCTTCTCTGCTTCAGCAGGAGGGGCAGCCTTCTTGCGACCCTTGAGCGCCGCCTTGGCCTTTTGAGGCACGGGCTTCTCCTCCTCTTCCTCGGCAGCAGAGACCTCCTCCTCGCTCTCCTCCGCCTTGGCCTTCGTGGCTGCTTTCTTGGGGGCAGCTTTCTTGGCGGCGCCACGCTTAGGCTTGGGAGCCTCCTCTTCCGCCTCCTCGACATCAGACTCCTCTTTCTTGACGGCGGACTTGCGAGCACGCTTGGGTTTGGGAACCTCTTCCGCCTCTTCGGCATCAGACTCCTCCTTCTTGACGGCGGCAGCCTTCTTGGCGGAACCGCGCTTGAGCTTGGGAGCCGCTATCGGCTCCCCATTATCGGATTCCTCCTCCTTGGTGGCGGACTTGCGAGCACCGCGCTTGGCCTTTGGCTTGGGCTTCTCTTCCTCCTCGTCTTCAGCCTCGGCCTTGACGGCTGCCTTCTTGGTGCGCTTGGCCTTGGGCTTCTCCTCTTCCTCGTCATCGGCGGCCTTGCGACCGCGCTTCTTGCCCTTGGCAGGGGCCTCATCCTCCTATATTCAGGCGTCAGTATGTAAAGTCGCACATGCACAGTGTTGAGACGAACATCTTCCTCCTCGCCATCATCCCAGTCCTTGGGCTTCTTGCCGCGAATGCCGCGCTGACCGAGCTTGTTCATCCAGGGATCACCGTTGAAGTCCTCGGCGTCAATATGGCCCTGCTCTATGGCCTTACGGATCTTCGCCTGCAGATCGGGGTGGTCGCTAGACTTGCGTGTCAGCGGCGGATTCCAGTGAAGAAAGTGAATAAGGAAGGAATGCAGGCTGACCCCATCTCATCATAGCCGTCAAAGGCGTCAAAGTCGAACTTTCCGTTCCTCTCACAAACCTCCTGGACGTGCTGCATCTGCTCTCCAGAAACACATCCCCTTAAATCGATTACGTTAGCATATTGTGCTCTTCCTGCCTTGAGAGTTGTATGTGGCGGGTGGGGGAGTGAGTTGTGACCAGGGAAGGGAAAAGGGGCCAACATACCAATGCTTCCACTTGAAGGACTCATGATCCATAATCTTGGTCCATGTGCCGAAGCGAAGGGAACCCTTCAAGCATTTGGCCGCAGCCTTCTTGCAGACACCATCGGTGCATCCGGCACGGTTGTTGGGCGACACCTCTACAATGAAATAAAAGTGAAAATTAGCATGTGTATATGTGCGGGTGTTGCGCGAGCTTGAAGTGACGTTTGAGATGGGAGTCTCGGTCGCCTATGACGTGAGGTCGAAATTTGGACGCGTCGCCGGCTGTCCGCCAGACGCGACCGTAGCTCCTGACAAGCCAGACCGAAAGTCCAAATCACAGGGAATTGTAAACTTACCAATGCGGTAGTCAGGCATTTTGATGGAAGCTTTGAAGAGCGTGTGAATGTGGGAAAGGGTCTTCTCGAAGAAAGGGAAAATAATGAACGAGGGTGTCTCGGAGAAGAAGAAATGGGAGGTAGGTGATGTGGTGACAGATTTTGGAGGAAGCACCTCAAGCTGTCAGAGGAAGGGAAAGAACAGGGGAGTGACGTTGGTTGAGAGGTGGGCAGTGACAATTTCTCCTGTCTTCTGCCTGCCGGGCCCATTTTAGCTGCCCAAAGCTCCTGAGCTTCAGTGCGTCTGTTCACTTAAACCCCTGTGCGGCAACCTAATCGTAGCCAGGCAGCGGCCCTGAACTTCTCCAGCTCGAAGAGTTTCGCATGGCCCGAACACGTGGTGGCCGATAAGACGACGGGATGGAATGCAAACGACCTGTCCCATTCATGGAAACAAAACACCAACACATCAGATACTCCCCCTCAGTGAGTGAAGACAAAAAAGCGCTTTAAGAATAACCTCAAGAAACTTTTCGATAGAAATCGTAACAAATATAGGTACAGAAAAAGCCACTCATGCTATCATCTACATCCGTTGCACCACCGCCAACACCAATGTCCGCCCAAACCGCCATATTCATGCCTCTGGTCATCCCTCGACGCCAGTTCTAGCCCGTATACCCTCTCATACACATTTCCCCAAAGATCCAAACTTACAAGAATGGGCACCAACCGATATACATAGCCGCCAGGTTTCTCGGATCAGCAGCCTGCTTGATCAATTCCTCCACCTGGCCCTCCACACCCAACGGGATCGTGTCCTGTCCCATTAACCCCTTAACTTTACGCTTGATGCTGTCGACAACAAGTTGCGGCTGCATCCTAGGCGCCCCGTCCTGCCGACGGCTCGTCTTCTTCTCCTTTTGCAGATCCAGCGTAGGATCGTAAATGAACGCCTCGAGAATCGTCATCAGCGTCTCCTCCTGCTGCCGCAAAATCCCCAAGGTCAGCTCGCTGCAGTGCCGGAAGGGACCTTCGTATCCGTAGATGCCCATCGCAGCCACCATATTGTGCGTCAGGCGGAACGGCACCCTCTCTGGCTGCGCAAACGTCAAGCCCTTGTCGAAAAGGCAGTTGAAGTCCACGTGGAAGATGCCGCCATTGTCGCGCTCCAGCAACACGTTCTCACCGTGTCGATCGCCGAGTCCGAGGATTGTACCCACCATCGACATGACGGCGCAGGAACGCGTGTACTTGAGCCGCGCAGAGAACCAAGTCGAAGGGTGGGGGAAACGCTGGACGAACCAGTGCTGCAGGACGGGCGGGAACGTGCCCAAGACGCCTTCGGTGAACATCTTAATGTTGTTCGGTCCCGTCACTGCCTCAGCCATCATCCGCTTGATCTGGTTGTAGTCGGGGTGTACCTGGCGGGATTTATACTGATCCAGAAGAATCTCGCGCAGTGTCTTCAACCCATCAACCCATTCGATGATACCGCACTCCTCGTTCAGAGGCACGACGGCATACGTTTTGATGTACAACTGGCGTCTGCTGGCCTCGGGATCCCGCTTCAATGATCTGTTGATCATGCTGTTGAACTCCATCAGACGCTGGTCAGTGCGTAGATCATCCTTGGGCTTGATCATAAGCATGTAGCTCTTTCCGTCCGTCCCGCGTGCGGTTAGTCGTCGCGGCTTGGCCAAAGATCCCAGAACCAGTACCTCGTCCAGGAAGGAGTCGATGGTAATGACGTCTCGTGAGAACGCCTTGTGGGTCTTGACGTTGTCAGTCAGCGTCGGCAAGGCAGCAGTCAGACACGACTCGATGGGCACCACCAGGGGGCAAGGGGTGCACTTGTGGTTGAAGTTCAGATCGCGCGTGATGCTCGCCACGGTCGTCCTGTTGCTCTGGAAATCGCCGTTGTTGCAAGCCAGCAAGAGTTGTTCTGCGAGCTTCTCGCCCATCCTCAAGAGCTGCCTGAGTTCGTAGGTGCTCCCGTCAACCTTTTTGGTGACTCCCTTCAACGCCTGCAAGATCTGTTGGCCCCTTACCCGACGTTCTGAGTTTTGTCTCGTTGTCATGATTCCAAACAGACTCCAAAGAGCTTGCCGAGGGTGGGATTGGACGACCTTGATGACTATGTGCGTCAAACGCTCATAGACATCTTTGTTCTGATGAGCAATTCTTGCCACAACTTGTGGAAGTGCCGTGTAGAAGATGTACGCTGGTAATCGGGCTATGGACTTGTCAAGGAACCGGTGAAGGAGGTTCAACTGATCCGTTCGCCTCCTATGCAGCTCACGAGACAGTGAAACTTTGCCTTCGGGGGCCTTGTCAACCTGCGCTCCGAATTCAAGCCACAGTGTAAGAATTCTCGGCATGGTCTGGTAGAGATATTTGGTGCCGTAGTTTAGAGACCGAAGGTAATTTTCGACGACGAGTCTGGTGTATTCGCCCTGAATGCAGGGATCGGTTTGATCGTCTGCCTTGAGCATCTTCTCAGATTCCAGTACTTTCTTGTAGTATCGTCCCAGGTAGTAGTGGCCCTTTTCCCAGGCGCTAGCTGTGAGAGGGGGTTGTTGATATTTCTCACGCAGTGTCAGATGGTTCGTCTGACCGGCAGCGTCTAGCCATTTTGCAAGCATCAGTTGAGCTCTAGCCGTCAATTGCCGTTGCTGAGCATCCATGCCACGGATAGAAGAAGAACTGTTGGTCTGTGTCATGAAGTTGTTCGATTCAATGGCTCCCTGCAAAACTTGGATCGCCTTGCGCGTGTGGCCGTCTTTCCACAGAAGCCGAGCATTCTCAATGACCGCAGCTCCGTCGCCAAGTTGAGAAGCATGTAATACGGCATTGAACGACTGGTGGGTTGAGTTGGCTTTTCTAGCCAACCTAGCGCTTGAGAGCCACAGCGAAGATATGTCAAGATCGGAAAACTTGGGCCTATGGAATGTTAGCTTAGTTAGGATTGCTGGTAGACGACACTGCACATACCGTGAAAGCTCCATGGCTGCCCTGCGGATACCCAACAAGTACTGCTTATCGCCTACGTACGCCCCAAGAACCTCAAGGCGACGGTTGAGCATTGTCAGAACTTCCTGATGTGCATCGCCCTCAGAAGCTTGAGTTCCAGCGATGATCTCAAGGTCAGTAAGGACATGACACCTAAGTCTCAAGTCGTGGCAGGCTTGCAAAGATGACGTTGCCACGTGTGTCATGGCGGAGGCGATCTTCTCTCTCATACTTTGCAGCATTTCGGGGAATGTATCGCTGCCGGCCCCCCTTTTCTGCAGCGCGTTGAAGAGTTTGGCGATACTGACGTTGAAGTCTTCCAGAGGGCTGCCATGGAATCGGGCAGTGTACTTGTTCAAAGTATCCCATCTCCTCGTAGCCCACGCTGCTTCAACTGCGTATGGAACAATCTTGTTTTCTGTCGAAGGTTCTGTTCGCATGCCTTCAACATAGTTGAGTAATACATCTGATAATGTTAGTACATGTGTGCAACCCGTGGCTTGGAAACATGTTCTCTTACCGTGTTGGCCGGACTGTTTCAGACAATTGAGCAAATCGATTTGCACATCGATATTATCAGGCTCTTCTGCTAATTTGATTTCGTACCAAGTTTGAGCTGCAGTATATCTGCCTGCCTTCTTGTGACTGAGAATCTGCTGGTTGATATCCAAAACGTGCAGATGAGCGGAAATCCCTTCCAGCCCGTCAGGTTCGTCAATCTGAGTATAGATGTCCTGCAGCTGCTCGAGTAGTAAAGTTTTCTGCCTTGGGTCGCTGTTCTCAACCTCCATTTGCTGGGCATGCTGCTCGAGGTGGAAGAGCGCTCGTGGGTATTCTCTACAATCCATCGCACGTTGAGAGATGAGCACTGGCGGAACAGTGTTTAGCAATTCCTGAACACGTCCTATCGCGGGCAGGTCATCGTCATTCTTGCGTCTTGCATCCTTCTCTTGGAGCCACCTGCTCGCGTAGTCGAGAGCTCTGAAGACAGCCTGCTTTGATTAGCTACAAATCCAACACTGCACGAAAGCTTACTCACCTCGCAATACAGCTTCATGTCTTCTCGTTCCGAATATGGCGCGTCCTCGGCGGGTTGGTGCTGAAGAATACCAACGAGCTCTCCAATGACATTGTCCCGGTCCTTTCGCGTGCTCCTGTGACCTATGATGACATGAAGCACAAGATATGGCAGCAGGAACTCGGCAACGGCCAAGTCCTTGACCTTGATAGTGCGACACAGTGGTTCAAAGATAAGATCCGCGTGCCCATTTTGCCCCTTGCCCAAGAGATCCATGCTGAATGAACGCATCCAGTTTCCGTAGGGCTTTCCTGGGCGGAAGATAGGATACTCGACTGGAACAACGTTCATAGGTGTCAAAAGATATCTGGAAGTAAGGAAAGGCGTCAAGACATTGCGGTCACTCTCCGATAGTGTTAGCCATTTTCTGTAGATGACACCACCATCCCGCATCCCAGTTCCTTTCATAGCCAGTGCAGCCTTGATATCGACCCGGTCGAGCAGTTCTTGCATGGCAAAGGAAAGGAAACCTTGGAGTTTGGTGTCTGTCGTGGACAAGAAAGCCTTGACGAGTATTTGTCCCAAGATGAACAACACGAAGTCTGTCGTCTCGTCTGCACTCTCGAAATTGCTCAAGATGACCATCGACTTTTGCTCTCGTGGCGCTTCCACTCTATTAGAGTCGAGGCAGCCAACCAAGCCAATGCATTGAGTACAAAGACTGGCAATATCGAGCTGGTGCATAGCACTATACTTTGCTGCACAGTCTAGCAAGGCTCGTATCAACATGGGTACAACGGGGTCAGGCTGTTGGCTGACGGCTGAAGTCTGGAGGAAGCCTCCACTCTGTCTAAGGTAGACCTCGAGTTCGGTCAGTGCCAGTAATACGACACCAGAGTTCTCGTGAGACGTGCGCTCGGCGAAGAGGGCAAATGCCTGCCTGCTGTCCAGGACTGGACGCGCGGCGTTGAGTTCCCCTTCGACGTCTGCCAACTCTGCGATGTGGCCCAAAGAAGGTAACTTGCTGATGTAGGACGTGAGGCTGTCACTAAAATCCGTGATCAACTCCCTGATCAAATTCTTAGCCATTTGTCGACAAGGCTGACTAAAGAGCGGCCAGTAGTGGCTGATGACGAAGAATGTAGTCTCGATCAAAACCTCGACGTCTTCAGGCTCGAGACATGTGAGCAGAGCCGCCCAGCAAGAGAATGCAGCTTCTCTGAGATCATCCTGAGCCAGTGATGACAGAAGACACGCGGCAATCTAGGACAATTAGTATGAAGAGCAGCTTCGAACCGAATCATTACTCACCTGTGGGCGAGCAATTCGAACATAGACTTTGCAATGTCTGATCATCTCCTCTAAGGCACGTATGCAGCGTCTCTGTTCTTCGGCTGGAGGAAATACAAGTGGCATATCATTGATAACATCTGCAAGGCGAGCCATAAGACCAAGAATGTACGATTGTAGATATCTCCCAATCGTGTTGCCCTTCTTCGGCTTTGACTCTTTGTTTGCGATCATCATCATTGAACAGAAGGATGCCAATGCCTCAATTATCTAGCACGAGTCAGCAACTTAAGTGCTTTTGGCGAAGGCGATGTACTTACTCGGGGCTTCCGTGCTTCATCCGCCTCGCCGGCAGCCTTGAAAAGCTCTAGAGCGACCGAACAGACTTCGGATTGCACGAGCTCAACCAAAGTAAATGTCTCTAGGTGAGAGGAAACCTCAACGAGTCTAGACATGACGAACTTCTCGATGTTACCAACATCTTGAATGAGCAAAAGCGCAATGATTGAGCCAGCATTGGCTGGGTCCAGGATAGGGATCCATATGTCCCTTTCTCCTCGGGCTTCTGCGATTTTCTGAATCACCTCCTTCTTTTTCATTAATACCAGCCAAGGCAACGCATGAGCCTGGATAAGCAGCAGGAAGTCTGTGACGGATATTTGCAACAGGTCGGAAATCGCGCGGCAAATTTGCGGCCGAGCCTGCATGTCCTTGACAGCGAAATATGCAAGGTTCCTCCAAAAGGGTTCGAACAGACGACGCGGCGTTGTGTTCAAGGCAGATGCTAGGTTGAGAATCTAGAGTCACGTTAGTCTTTGTCTATTGCGTCAATAATAAGGATGTCTACCTCGTTGAAGGCACATGATGCGATCAGACTGTTGATACTACCGAGGTACTCAAGCAACTTGTGCAGAACAAGATTGAGCTCGTCTCCAGTCAGGACCCTGATCTCGTTAATATACCGCGTATGAACGCATTTAGTCACGGGAGCTTTGATTTCCTACCGTCCAAGTTGGCCCCAGGACAGGATTCCGCTTTCATGGAATATGGCTGCATCTTTCTCGGAAGCAGCCTTGAGCAGACTAAGTGCATTTTTTCGGTTGCGAATGATCAGAGTTGAGTCAAGCGACGCCAGGTTATTATCTCTCAGGAATAGAGGAAGAGCGCGTCTGCAATCAGTTAGTTGCTATTATTTGCCAGAGAGTATTTTTGGGTTGAAGTGCAACATACCCAGAAGCGATTCTGAGCTCTCTGATAGAGCTATGCAAGCTTTGCAAACACCATTGGCCCAGAGGAGATGTTTCGAGATCAATGAGTTCTGTAATGTCGGCGTGGTTGATGATACGTCTGGCAGAGATCATCGCGACGATCCTCGGGCGCTTCGACTCCTTAAAGTTGGGTAGATGAATGAGCTTCGTAAAAATAGATTGGGCCTCCCTTTTTTCTGCGGCTGTTATCACATCAAGGCTTCGAGAGCCTGTATATTTCTCATCGCAGAATGCACATCCCATGCTGTTACGATTTCTGATGCTTACACCGCCGTCGACAATTGTTGTCAAGTCCACTGCACAACATATGCGGGCTACCAGGTCGATAGCTCGACACTGTTTGTCTTCGCTGAGGTCATTGTACTTGTTCCTAGGCACATGTGAGCTGACGGACCAAACGTATCAAAATAGAGAGACATACAAGAAAACATGTTCCAGCCCTCCGCTTTCCTCGACCTCATTCACTTCGCAGACTTCGTAGATACGCTTGACCAATGCTCGGAGTTCAGGAGCATCTGATGACACCTTTAGACGCTTTGAAGCGGGTTCTGCGTCTTCAGTGGTACGATTTTCTAGACCAAGGTCTTCTACTGCCTGACGCAAGTCGACGTCGACAAAACAAGCGGGTTGAGTCTCAGAGTCGAGGGCTTTTGGGACGATGGATCCGGATGTTTGCTTCAGAACTTGGATAGAAAGCTGGAGATGTGTTAGTCGAAGCTCGAAACGGTGTCATTACCCTTAAACTTACTATGAAATCGTGGGCATCGCTAATCGTTGCAAGTGAAGGAATCTCGTACTCCAAAGGGCATACAATCTTTGGTGCTGCTAGTCTGCCGATTTCTCGATCTACGAGCGATGCATGCGCCAGTCGGATGAGCGCCAGCGAGACCGTCTTCCTCGCTGCCACGCTCGACTCATTTGTCCCCTGTATTTCTTCGGGGTGTGCTGCCAGTTCAGCACATAGCACTGCCAGCACAGCATATGCCTTTTTTGAGTCGAATGATTTGTTGCCAGGACGTGGCTTAACTGGGAGCAGGTTCAGAGCAATTTTGAGCAAGTCGGCTCGAGGCCTTGGCACAATCGCCTGCCATGCGTTCTGTACAGCACGAAGGGAAAGCAGAGAGTCAAGCAGCCACGGTGCCAGTTGAGACAATGTTGGCCGTGACACGAGATTCGGAGTTTTGAAGATTGAGGGGTGCGCCAAGGCCGAGGTCAATGTCGTTGCTTGATGTATGCACTGAGAGACATGTTGGACGGTATATGTGGTCTGTTGGACAAAGAGTGTGCCAGGCTTTCCTAACAAGAGCTCCAGTGTACCATCCGAAGGCAATGTCATGTTTACACTAGCGTCTTTCCCAGTTGAACTCGGTGCCATATTTTGCAGGTGATTTATGAGAGCTGCGAAAGTCAGTGGTTGGATCTTGAAACTGAATGAATGCCCGAAACTCACCCCTACTGGTCTCGCGCAAGTATAGTAACATGGACGGGAGAAGTTTCCACATGGATCCCGTACGGATAACCACGAGGATAACAAATTGAAAGAAACCCTCAAAGTCTCCTGTCAGCTCGAGGCAGCGAGAATGGCCCAGCAACCGAAGGATCTTGGGGAAGATCCAAATCCAAAGAGGCTCCTCCCCGCGGAAGACAAATTGCTTTCCATCGGTAGTATGGTCCAGGACATTCGGTGTCTCCTCAATTGTGACCTTCAAGAAGTTTATGGCCTTCAGAGCCTCGTTTCGCATATGGTTTCGGTCGGAAAACGGATCGTCGAGCTTGATTCCTTCGAGAACAACACGGGCGTAGACGTAGATGAGCATATGATTGTGGTCCGTCCTTTGCTCGGCAGTCTCTAACATCTCCGGCTTATTCTTGACCTTCTCGATTACGGCGAATAGCCTCTTCAGCTCGGCGTTTTCGTCGGATCGCGTGGACTTGGTCGAAGCCGAAATATTCTCGACCAATTGTGCGGCGAGCGTAGAGGGAGGCGGCGCGTTGGGAGCGGCAGCGGCAGCCGGCCTGCCATTGTGATCTGCAGCCATGGCTTCGTCCTCATCGTATGACCAGAGGACGTTTAGCTGGTGCAAGTCGCAGTCCGCCACTGCTTGAAGGATTAACACCCTCAGGACGAATGTCCAGAGCTCGACGCGCCTGCGGGGGTGGGCCATCTATCGGATGCGCGCTGGACCAGGCGCGAGGTCACATGTTCAATTAACTTTGCTTATGTAACGAGACCTGGCCCATGCTCTATCCACCTGCGATTCTCCGGATGCCTTCAACTTCAGGGTGACCGTCCATCCTCGTCGTCAAAAGGAATAGTTGATGACAGCTTACGCGCCAACTTGCGCCTTTACCGCCAAGTTCGGCTTCGGGAAGCTTTTCAAACATCCCATTGCCTGCGTACATGAATGGCGTGATTACAAATGCAATTAGCTGTTCCCCTGCATAAGGGACCTTGGTCTCATCTTGCTGCTTACACCGTTCATAGCTTCCTTCAAATATTAGTGATCGCCAACTAATCCTCTCTTCATTCTTCAAAGTATATCGACCACTCATTCTGGCAGCTCAGAAGTGGTTCAATTGAATCATTGCTACGTCTACCTTTCATCATGAACGTCGCCCTCAAGGAAGCAATGCCAGAGGCCCTCCTCGTGCAAGGCGCTTCAAACAACCCATCATCGACCATAGAGATGATCCCATTGAAGTACCCAGCAAGCACATCGAAGCAAAGCATTTCATCGCATAAACCCAATTCCCCTCCTATTGATGGAAATTCAACACCGACAGAACCAGAACCCCCTCAAGGTCTCCCATCCCGCAACGTCTCCGTAGCCAAGAGCATCACCGTAATCGTCACCCTCGCGGGCATAAACTTCCTCAATACAATGGGCTCCGGCATCCTCATCGCCGCCCTCCCGCGCATAGCCCAAGACGTCGGTCTCGACGAGAGCCTCGTCCTCTGGCCCGCCGCCGTCTACAACCTCGCCGCCGGCTGCCTCCTCCTCATCTTTGGCGCCGTCGCCGACGTAGTGGGCGCAAAGCTCATGTGGCTGACGGGGAGCTACCTCTGCGTCGTCTTCACCGTCGCCGTCGGCCTGTCCAAGACGGGGATCCAAATCATTCTCTTCCGCACCGCCGTCGGCGTCTCTATTTCGGCGTGCTTGCCCACGGCCATGGCGTTCATCACAAAGACGTTTCCCAAGGGCGGGTGGCGCAACGTTGCGTTTTCGATGAATGGGATTGGGTTCCCGCTCGGGTATGCGCTCGGCCTGGTCCTGGGTGGCATCTTCACAGATACGATCGGCTGGCGTTGGGCATACTACATGATGGCCTTTATCAACTTTGCTCTGTCGACCGCGGCGGTCTGGTCTCTGCCTTCGATTCACCAGCCGTCCGAGAAGAAGTGGACGCGCCGCTTGGCGGAGGATATTGACTGGACAGGAGCCGTCATCATGAGTGTTGCGCTGGGTTTGCTGCTTTATGTGCTAGCGATGACTACTTCTTCGTACACAAAAATTGCTGATCCTACTAATATTGCTCTCCTGACCGTAGCAGTAGCCTTGCTGGTCGTGTTCCCCCTCTGGATGAACTTTCAGATTAAAATGGATCGTCCGGCGCTGATTCCGAATGGTCTGTGGCGAAACGCTGCATTTACGTCGATTTGTGTAAGTGAATATCCGGGAAGAAAAGACGTGAGACACCTCTAACATATCGCCAGGTGTCCATCTTCCTATGCTGGGCCTCTCTCAATGCGATACAATACTTCATCATGCTATAGTCAGTGCTGTATGGCAGAGATCAAGAGTTTCCAATGCTAATGCCCTCAAACAGTTTCCAAAAAGTCCAAGGCATCTCCGCGCTGCAAAGCTCTCTGCGATTTCTGCCTCACGTCGTGATGGGCACCCTCGTCAACATTGCAGCAGCATGGCTCGTCTCACGGATAAAGGTCCAGACTCTAGGCGCCGTATCTGCAGTCATAACAACCGCGGCACCAATACTCATGGCCACAGTCAGCCTCGACGGAAATTACTGGTTTGGGCCGTTCTGGGCCATGGTGCTTTCGCCAGTGAATGCAGATGGTATGTTCACCCTATCTCCCCTTTCCGAGCATGCTTCAAGCCCCCAAGACACTGACCTAGAAATCCTAAAAGCCCTCTTCACCGTCTCCAACCTAATAATCTCCGACGCCTTCCCAGCAGACGTGCAATCCCTCGCCGGCGGCGTCTTCAGCGAGATCGGGCAGATCGGCAACGCCGTAGGCCTCGCCGTGACAGCAGCCATCGCGGCCTCCGTGACGGAGCACTCGGTTGTCTTCCACGACGATGCCCGGGAGGCGCGTATGGAAGGCTACCGCGCTGCATTCTGGACCATCTTCGCCGCCACGGTTGCGGTGCTCATCATTGTAGTCGGAGGGCTTCGAAAGGGTGGTACGGTTGGGAAGAAGGATGACTAGATGGTGCTACTGCTAGACATACCTAAGGTGCCTAGCGTGAGGATTCCTGGAAAACGGCTGCATTTGGGATTGGGAGGGTGGCACTGCCGTTGCCGCCGTCGAGTACGGCGATGTATGCATGTCTTGGGCCGAGCATCGCTGAAATTAGCAACTTGTGCAGATAGAACTCCAGTCATCTTGATCTGAATCCAGGAAAGCAAGCCCTTTGGGTCGTTCTGGCAAATTCATCACGCTAAGTAAAAGACCTGGAAGGCTGGAAAGACATAAAATCAGGCGCAGTCAATATGACGGTGCGGCTGTATGGGCATGATAAGTATCGGTAGTGCAACAAACAATAACTGAACTGCTGCTACCACAATCAATACGTCAATAATCATTTTGCGTCAATTGGCTAGCTTTAGGAGAGAATCCTTTGTTATCCGATGTCGACCCAGTGGAAGGGTTTGGCTTTTCTCAGGAATTCAGACGACTGAACTCAACTGATGATTGAGGTGGACAGTCTAACTAATAACTGTCAAGTGATGAGTTGTTCGAATAAGCCAAGATCAACGGTACGTGGCCCACGCCTTGGCTGAACCAAGAAATCAACCCAAGACTCAATTACTCTTCACGCGCGCCGGTCACATTACGTCGACGGGTGTAGGCAAGTCTGCGCAAAGGTAAGTACAAACTCTCAGGGTTGATTGTAATGGTCCCACGATTCCTTGGGAATTGTGAGGATCCGGGGTCGATCCCGCGCCGAGTTCTTTTGCTTCCGCAGAGAAATGGGATTATTGACGGCATGCTGACATTATCGTGAACCGGACCCATTCTAGTCTCATCCCCATGCTTAAGATTTATCGGAATTCAGCAGTTTGACAGGACGTTTATTTGTGACGATCGTTTCGCGGGCCGCGCAAATCCTGCCCACTTTGGAAATGGAAATGAAAATGGCAAGTCGGAGTAGGTCGTTGAAATGCGGTGCTAATGCGACACCCTCCCAGAGACTTCTGAGTTCGATGGCCCCGGCGGGTTCTGGTTCTTGGCAGCTTGCGCAGCGGCAACGTCGATCTGGCGGTTTCGTTTCCCCCTTTTAGGCCCTCAAGGGAAAGGTAAACTTGGGTATTACCGTTCACCTCACACACCCTCTTGCGGCATTCAGAGGGAAACGACGATCAGTTGGAGAAACCCCTCCGTTGGTGCATGCACATGCCAGCGTGCTGGGCGGCTCCAGACCCTTTTTCTCTGCCTCTCTTCGCAAGGGGATTATGATAAGGATCAAAGTGTGGTCGCGTGAGAGTGTCTTGTGTCGTGTGCTCATGTGCCACACGTCCAGGCCCGTGTTCAAGCCACTATCTCCAAGAAACCTGGATTGGGGTTGCATCTGGCGGTGTTGTTGATGTACCATCAAGTGAAACATTTACCGTACTGTGTAGGTGTGGCTGCGATGGTGGAGTGTCCAGGCTTTTATTCGCCGACTCGTTTGGACTCCACGGTACAGCTTCACATGTCTCCTGTACAACGTTGGCATATTGCATTACGGCGACCGGGAGGGCTCCATGGTCGTCAAGGTCGACTCCAGGGAATTCGAATTTTCTCATGCTCCCCGCGAAATGTCCACTTGGTCCTGCACGACAGCATCATATAGTTGTCCAGCCGTCGGGACCAAGTCGAAGTAGATAGTGTGAGGTCGTAACCCGTAAAACGGACCGAGACGGCAACAAGTAACATTATTTCCGCAAAGGTAAGCCGAAATGAGAAGTGAGGAAAACGGCCAGTGAACAAAGCCCGTGCAAGGACATGTATCCGTATTCCGTACAGAGTGTTCGGAGAAGGTAGGTCGCAAGCAGGTTTTGGATGATAGCTATAGGGCTGCCGGGTGAGGTCTGGTCGTCATAGTGGATAGGCGGGCTACACGTAGCCCCAGTTAGCAACATGTTGAGGTTTTGATTGTCTCGCAACCTCCCACACCTGGATCCTGTCTGTAGGTTCTGGGCCGTTGACACGGGTTGGTTTGCGTAACCTAACCACGTTCGGGGCTGAAAAGACAGAGTGATGTTAGTCGTTGGGGGCCGAGGGATCCTGTTGTCCGTCTCTGGATAGCGGAATCCGTTGATGGGTTTCTTTCTTGTGCCCTTTCAGATCGGGGATTTGGCTCAAGTTGGCGCCTTGGGTGGGGTAGCGGCGGGGGATCCGTGTCGTCCCGATGGCTGGGCAAGCTGGTTACTGCGCGGAGCACCTCATTCTGCCGTCGTCTCATCACATCCTCGAATGCTGTGAAGGTGGGATGGCGGGATGGCAAGGCTTGGTTCCTGAAGCATGATTCTGATTACCATGCAGAGAGCCCCATATTCGGCCTCCTCCCGCTATGTTCTAGCTGTAAGTTGTAACTTGTTCGCCGTTGACTGGTGCTGCTGGCTCCGTTTTTCTTCCCTTTGAGATATCCCCATCATCATGTTGAGCTCAGGAACCTGCTGTGGACTCATTGTACGATGCCTGCCATGTTCCCAGATGACTGGAGTGGTGGATTAACCCGAAGTTGCAACCGCACCCGCTATCGCTCCTCCTTCCTGTCGATTATAGAGACACAATAGAGTACGTACCGAGTACTCTGGAATACAAATGGAAGGCACGTCGACGGTATCCACAAAATTGGAGTCTCTCCGCAGACCGGTGTTTCCCCGCCAAGACTTCCAAAAGCACCTCGCAATCCATCGACTGGCTGGGAGGAACCGTAACGCGAGAAGGAAACAAAACATCCGTACGCAAGTACCGCGGCAGTCTCATGGTGGTATGCTTCCATCGTCTTATTCCCACAGGTCATTACCAGCCAACGCAGCCGTGCGTAAAGCTAGAAATCAAACTCCCAGGAAAGACAACAACTCACGGCAGGTAAAAGCTACCCCTCTTGACGGTCTCGGGGGACGTCGGCAACCGGTGGAGACGGAACTAGAGCACTTTCCCACGGGCTTTGAGGCTTTCAGAGAACGGGAAAGACGGCGCTGGGCTGGACCTGGACTGGACTGGGCTGTGCTTGCTTCCGCCAGAATGCAAACCGGCCCCATGCCACCCGCAATCAAACAACCAGACGAACATGGAAGTGGAAGGTTCAAGTGGACCTTCTGTCCGTAACCCCGCGCTTACTGACGCCTTCTCACTTCTCACTTCTATTCACTCCATATCAGTACCGCAGTCCGGGGGTATCCAATCCTGTTAGTCGATACTTATCAGAACGCACAATGAATCTTCTTTCCTCTCGTGTTCGTCTTGTTTCCACTTGGAAATAATTCCCTCTCTCTAGAATTCTTATCCTTCAAGTCTTCTGAAGCGGGCATACGTACGTATATCATCTCCAGCATATGCCTCCACGTAGACCTCGGGACTATCAATCCCCATCTCTACGGTTTCTTTGCCGGTTCCCTCCCCTCATCATCCCAGGAACTCGGTCTCTTCCTTCAGTGACAGGCCGGAGGCGTTGTACTGACGATGGCTTATGCACCGTACCTGTCGTTCCCTCCCACTTTGGCCCAGCTTGTGCCGGCCTGAACCATATCGGAATCCTGTTCCTGGCCATGGCCCCCCAAATACGCCGCTCAATATCCATTTATTCCTCCACTCTGCCCACGCCCCCAGAGTCCCAAATGGGGTGCTTTCCTGGCTAAACTGACAGAAGCCCCATCGTCGTCAGCCAATGCTCGGCGACGGCACGTTTGCGCCAGGAACACGACGCCTCGGAGAGCCACTTTCCCTCTGGTCTCTCCAGCTCCTTCAGGCCATGGCTGATGTTGTTGCTGTTTCCATCCAGTCTTCTCCATTCTCTTGCCCTGCTCGCTGCTTATCCTCAGCCCCTCCGCGACGTAAGAGAGTCTCCATCGCCCTCAACTATCAACTAATCTAAGTACGTGAGAAACCGCGCCGGGTCTTTTTCTCTTGAATTTGTTTTGTACCTACCTATCCTGATCTAGTATAAGGGGACCATCCACGCCCAACCCAGCCTGCATACCATCCATCCTCATCTGCTCGTTCCCTTCCTGTTGCCTCGACCCCTCACCCCTCCCTCTACATCTCAAAAAGGAAAACGATACATCTGACCTGCATCGTCCTGCCTTCCCTTGCCTGGCCTCGACACCACAATACTGCACAGTAGAGAAGTCGTCCTGTACCCTGCTTCCGGCTGGGCTTCTGTTATCGTTCTAGTCCCTTACTCACGTGTCCTGCACCACCTCCTTCGTCCAATCTGGAGCACTGGGTAGTAGTTCTCGACCCTTGAGGCCGCTACAGTCTTGCGGATACACAAAGATACATTCGCACGAGAGGCTCACAACTACGCTACCGCTGCGCCAAGCTCCAACCTTCCACACACCCACCCCTCCATCACGCAAACTACGCACCAAGGGCACCCACCTTTCGGGCAGAGGCATCCCAGTTCCCGCCGGCTCGGACTGGACTGCAGCCATCACTGGGCTGCTTTATCCGTGGGCGGCGTCCACCTTGTCTCTCTCGCTTCGAGCGTGACCGACTTATTATTCCTCTCCCCTGACCTACTTGTCTTAGAAGTTGGGTCTCGGAAGCCGTCATACACATCCTACACGCTCGTTTCCCAACCTGCTCAGGATTCTTGCTATCTTCCTCTGCCCAAGATAGAGTCGCACAGCAATACACCCTGGCTAGGGATCTCCGCTTGATCTACCTGCTACGTTGATCCTCGAGCTGCGCTTGCGCAGTTATTTTGAAAGGCCCGGATCTCCCTCCGCAACCAGATGGTCAACATTTATCCTTCCATTCTCCGCACTTTACCTTCGACCGGTTACTCTTGAACTCTGGAAGTTTTGCCTACCGTTCTACGCTCTATTCCACCGAGAAACCTTGCGACAAAATGGCCGCTGCCGTAGCTGAACCCCCGCGTTTCTTTCCTTCACATCATGATGCGCTGAGCCACGATGATTTCGAAACAGCCTCGATCCGCTCAGCCGCGCCGTCTTATTGTAAGTTGAATCTTGTCACGAGCGAGTCTTACGTGGGACGTCGGGGCGGCTTCTTTGCTTTTGCACGGGACGTCGTACTGGCGCCTGACATGCTCGAGCTTCACAGACAAAGACATGTCACAGTATATTTCAAAATGGAAGTGGTCGAGCTAACACCAAACAACAGTCTCAGACGCGCCCTCTTACCACTCCATCGCTCCGCATCCCGAGCCTATTCCTCCTTACTCCCCGCCCGCCAACAACAACAATGTGAATCGCACAGCCACTGGCTCCACTCAACACCCAACGTCCCTGCTCCCTGCCGTCCCGGCCCCGAGCCGTTCCGGGAACTCGACGCCGCAGCCCCACCGAACCACCGGCCTGCCCCCGATTCCCCCGGCGCCGCCCAGCGCAGCCCCACGACTCGATCAGTTCCGCATCCCGACGTGGTCAACGGTGCACACAAATCCGACGCTGAACAACGTCGCCCGAAGACGCATGAACCAAGGTGCCGATCCCGTTGCCCACCTACGTCGCTTCATGTCTGAGCGCATGGCCGAGGAGGAAGCGGCCCAGCGAGCTCGAGACTTCAGACCGCTCGAGGACCCTTACTTGGTTGGCGAAGAGGCCGCTGCAAGCGCTCGCAGAGAGAGACTTGCACGCGAGTCCGGCGAGGACATTCTTTGGGACGAGGATCGCCGTTGGAACCGCTTTCTCGGTAAGTCTTGTTTTATGTTTCATATCCTTTTCTGTCAGAGTGTGGTCATGGCTTGCTAACCCTCCGGCAGCACAAATGCAAACTTGGGAGGACCGCGATCGCAGTAGTTGGAGGAACCTGCGTCAACCCCCGCCGACGCAGCGCAAGAAGCTGACCCGCCGCCTTGCGGGACGTCTTTGGTAGATCGCTTGACGCTATCACGATCTTTGATGCGCGTGTGACATGACTGAAAAACAAAGGGTTCGTCACGCATTGGGAAAAGGAGTCTGTCGTTTATTTGGTCTTTCTCTTATCATTCATCCATCGGCGTCTCTGCATAGAGCATAGGGAAGCCGATGATTCCTCCTAGAAAGGAGATGATTTCCATTTGGGTCTTTTTGTTTATGGGTAACGGGCACGGCACTTGGAACCTTCTAGTTCTTTCAAGACATACGTCTTGCCTACGGCCTCCCCCCCCCCCCCCCTTTGGGGCTTCATAGGGCGGATTTTCAACACTTTTTTGGCATCGGATCTAGATTTCAGATGCCTTCCGAGGACGGACTCGGTAAGGCCGGAGACATACTGTCTACATGGCTTGATTGCGTTTCAACGAGCCAATGGCAGGGGCATATAGGGCCTAGCTAGAGTACCCCGGGTCAAGGGTATATGAAACCAAATTGAAGAAGATATCTCATCTACGTCTGGAACTGTGACAAATAACTTCGTATTCCTGCATGATGGTATGTATCTTGACGTTCGTGGCCAGATCATAGGAGTCCTCCGGTCTCGCTTCCGTCGCGATGATTTCACACATGCTCTGTCTTATTTCTATGGAGACAAGAGAAGCGCTCTTAGCCGGAGGATTCATTAGCTCAGACTTGATAAATGCCTCTCTTTTGAGAAGACGGTTGAATTTCAAGCCTTGTCTTTGGGGTGAACATATTAGGTACGAAAGATATACACGTAGCACAGTACAACAACCCTTGAGCTGACTTGCTTCTCTTTCCCACGGTTGAACCTCCCGGAACCAGCTCTCAATCCCACGCTGTATTCTTCTTGTCCGGCCAGGGGCACCTGAAGTCCTGATTTATTCACAGCCCAAGTCTTCGAAATATTGCCGCTTCGTCGGGATAGGGTAGCCATGCATGTTGATGAGGTGGCCCTAGTTGTTTCTAGTTGAGAGGTGGAGGAAGGTTGTAAGATTTTGACGCACAAGTCCTTTTTTTTTTAATTTTTAGGACGCTTGCCTCCTGTCTAGGTATCATCACTCCAATCTCAGTTCTTCGTGTGAACAGACGAACCCCTTTCAAATTGACATGTCAGTTTGACGAGACCTCGGGGCTTCTGCAAGTCTGACAAGCGGAAGCCGAATAAGCGCCCACCCTGGTCGTCGACGCGGTTTACAAGGATATATCAAAGCCTACAACGCCAACAGCACCCATTCACTCGGTGATAACGTAGAAATTAGGTGACTCAAAGTTGTCAATGAGCTCGAACACGCGGGTCAAGATCCGTCCTTCTAAGCAGTATCTTGAGTACGATGATTCATCGATATGCGTGTATGACATACGTAGACGCTTTTCTACTGAACAGTCAAAACAAGGAATACACCCAACCCAATCTCCCCGGGCACCCTCATAGGCAGGTAGGTGCCCCTGAGAGCACGATCACGTGTTACGCACCTCGCGTATATTCATCCCATCCACCCTCCCCGAATATACAAGAAGATACCCTCAAACCCTTCATATACCCCTCCAAGTCCGTCCCCGTCACCAGCCAGCAGGCGCCTCCCTTGGGAGGTCAGGTCAAACCTGGCTGGGTGGTGGAGTGGTTGAAGTCCACGAATAGCCTAATCGGTGAAGGCTCAGAGGTCCCGTGTTCGAGTCCCAGCATGTGCACCAGAGATGTAGTCCCCATTCGCCACCGGGGTGATGAACTCTTTTGCTATCATGGACAAGTTTTCTTTTTGGTGTTGGCCTTTTAGTGTTTCCGATGATTAGAGGAGTAAGCTGCGATTTTTGTGATCTGGTAAGACGAGGAAGTAGCGGGTGGTGCCACTCATAACGGGCTTGCTTTGTTTACATTCGCCATTTTTGCTGTCACGACTTTTCCGTATTCGCTGGTAAGGTCCGTTAAGGTACGAAGAGTGGCTAAAGCAAGATCTTTCGTTGAATATGTAATTGGAGGGTCACTCGATCACTATTGCACAACATCCCCCTTTATACGTCTGGCCCACTGTCAAGCTTACCAATTTTATGATATCAAGCTGAGACGGCGATACGTAATTGACCCTAATGCTAGACCTCGAGAGCTTTGTGTTTCACAGTGTTTCTCTGTTGGGGAAGTAGAGGAATTTGCCAGCAAGGCTTCCCGGTGGAGAGCCTTGGGGCGAGGATCTGATAGAGATTCCTCTCTCTTTCTAGTCACTGCTGCCTGACTTGCGCCAGATCACCGAACTTCATACACTTACTCAAGGCTTAACCAAAGATTGATCTGTCATATATACCACTTATCACAGACGACGGACTCAAGTTGCGATCGAAAAATTTAAAAGATACTGAACCCGGATGCCTATCATACCTTCCACAGCTCCCGAGACCTTCTTCTAGCCCGTCATACATAAAATCTACACGAGGGTCCTATTGTAACGCCGTGCCATATGCTGGTTTGGACCAGAAACCACCCATACACCTTCTCTTTTGATGTTTCTTCAACCTGACGTCCGGCGGTTTCCTGGCTTAATGTACAGTTTGTTTCGTTGAAGGGTGATGTTAAGTTGTAGTAATTTATCGCCGTTTTGGATTATTCGGGGAATTCGGGACCGTCTTAGCCCTTGGACTTGGTGTTGAGGATGAGAGCGACAATAAGGCTACGTTGATCAGCATCTATGCACCTGGCATTGTCCATAATGATGTGACATACCCGTAAAGACCCAGGACTTCGCCGAAAATAAGAATCAGGACCATGCCGACGAAGACGCGTGATTGCTCCATGTACGAGCGCACACCCTTGTCGCCAACGATACCAATCGTGTAGCCAGCCGCAAGGCCGGTGAAGCCGACGGAGAGACCGCAGGCAAGATGCATGAAGCCGCTATTCTCGAGTTAGCACACAGAGGTTTTTTGTAGTCGTGTGTCTTGTTGCGACTCACTTGAACAAACTGTAGTTGCTTCCAGCACCGGGAGGGACCAAATCTTGGGCGATGAGGACCGAGATAACCAAAGAGTAAACAGCAATGATACCGGACATGACGACGGGAATCAGACACTACGGCAGTGTTAGCAAGCGCTTGTCGACCGGTGTTCAATATTCGAGTGGCATGCCTTCATAATGAGGTCGGGTCTGAAAGTTCCGACACCAGCGATACCGATTCCTGACTTGGCGGTACCGTATGCGGCGCCGATGCCTGTCGAGGAGAGTCTGTTTAGTACATTGTCCACATTGTCCATATATCGTCGCGTCGGGTAGAAGCATAGCTATGCTCGCAAAGTGAACGTACATCCGAAGATCATGGCAGCCGCAATGCCGGCCTAGATTGAAGACATGTCAGCACAGGCTCGAAGATAAATGTCATAGCTATCCGTAGCTTGCTGGAGGAAGAGCTACTTGAGCAAGCTGGATGTCGGGGGGCGAGAGCTTACCATTCCGATGAACGGCGCGAACTTGGGGGCGAGAACAGAGTCTTCGGCCATGGTGGGCAAAATGGTGGTCGGACTCGATGCGGGGGATGCGTGTTGATGGCCGACGGAGGGGGGAGGGATATGCGTGTCGAGGATCCCGCGATGTTGGCTTCCTGGATCCAGGACCTTGGAGCTTGGTGACGGTGACGAGGCCCAATCAGGACTGCACTGTGGACAGGCTGAGGAACCCGTGACTCGGCGCCATGCCGGCCCGACACTCCAGCCCCAGTTCAACGGTGTTGTGGCTGGTGTAGCATTTGAAAACTGGGAGTGTGGCGGGGCGGGGCTGGCAGGAATGGAGACGGTGCTCGAGTGCGGCGCAGCGGCTGCAGCAGCGTTCTCCAGGTGGTCTGTGTCTGACGGGGGTCTGGATTTCAGCTTTATCGATGCATACCTTACCTTAGCCTTATCGCGGCGCATCATCCGAGCAGCGGGTGGAATCCCTGGGCTTTCTTTGCCAACTTTCACTTCCACCCCCTTCGACTGCAGGTCACAGCTCTATCTCATGTTTTTGGCGCATTTTGCGTTCTTCACTCGCAGCCAAATAGGAGGGGCGGGACGTGCCTTGACGCGATGAATACAATCAACCTTTTGTCGCGTCTCTCTAGCACTTGCGGGGAAGTGACAGTTCCGGTTGGATAAAGAGGGCAGGAGAGCTTCGAGGGACGTTGTTAATTCGAAGCCATCCCGAATGCCGACCGCAAGAAAAGTAAAGCTGACCTCGAAACACGGGCGCATTGCAAACAAGAGACAGGCCGGGGGCCTCGTTGTTGGCGTGCGGTTCTTGCATGAGGGAGCTCCATTTCTTCCGGCAGTCACGCTGCCCACCTCACGCGGCGTTAAGACGGTCTCCAGTCTAGCCCCCCCTGTTTCTAGCAAAGGTTCTTGAATAATGAAGAGTGCGCTATCACAAGTCAGACATTGTTATTCTTAGATCTTGACATCGCCAGACCGCACGTTAGAGGAATGCCCTGGCCAGGCGAATCGACGCCTTTTAATATTGGATGCAGAGAAGCAGGGCGCTGCGTCTAATTCACGGGCGGAAGGGAGACGGTGGATCGGGCCAAGTCTCTCCCAAGTCCTAAGTCCACCTGTGCTGGCGTCTCGGTGGATCGTCCAGATTGCACCTTTTGGCGGTCGGCCGTCTCTTTTGACATTGACTGATTTGACCGATCTACTGTCCTAGCACATTCGCGAGTTGTTGGCGTGCACCAGGCACGCTGCTTGCTCTCTCTGTGTGTATCTATTCCTCCCGGATGTATCTGGGTAGCAGCAGCAGCAGAATCAACAGCAACGAATCGAACGAGATGGGCGCAAGCCGATCGCACAGCAGTTGTTGCCTTTGTAAGCGTGACCTTTTGTGGCACTTTGCTGGGCCAAGCAAAAGAAGGGTACAGAGAGAAACCCGGAGGCAGGATGTATCACTGTCCAACAGGCATACACCGTCAGGTAGCATATTCAAAGGCAGGCAAGCAGGGAGGTAGAGAGTCAGGCCAGTAGAACTTGGAATCATCTATCTTACCTTAGGTAGGTACTCTGTAGATGAAGAAAGTGAAAAGGTACCTTACATGTGCACCTCCCGCACGAGAAAACGGCGCATCCAGAAAAAGTACTCGTCCCGACCCTGACTAAGGCAAGGCGCCCTCCCCTCGACGAATACTTACTGGAGAGAGTAAATGGACACCAACAAGAGGTGGTTGGTCCCCTCCCAGCGGTATCCCGTCCATCTATCCAGACCTTGGGCTGTCTGCCAGTTTTGGTGCCGTCCTATCAATCTATCCCCAGCTTTCGACGCCTGTCCCAACCAACCTGGAAGCACCTCCAGTCTCCAGTCCCCGACCCAGTTCTAGCCCAATGCCGATGACTTAGCACCAACGACGACCAGCGACCCAGCAGCACCCTCTTCCACCACTACCACCACCTCCTCCACCACGAACCACCACGGCCACCACCATCCTTCGACTTTTTGCCCGCAACATTTCCTAGCCGCCAGCAACAAGTTACTCAGCATTGCTATCGCCCGTCCGCACAACTGCGCTGCCTTACCTTACCCGACGCTCCTTTTCGCATCGTCTCGACATAAACAAAAGTTGCCAGATCTGCCGTGGCTCGGTTTCTTTTTCGTCGCCTTCCCTGTTTCCTTTCTTCTTCACCCCCCCTTCGACAATCGCCCGGGTCAGGGCCGTGTGTCAAGTCATAGGCCCATAACGTCACCCGGCCCATCCTGGAAAGGGGACGCAGAACACCTAGAACGAAGGGGAAACGAATAGTAACCACCAAAAAAAATCCTCCCCCACGCCGGCCACCGCCTCTCCGCCAGACCGACGACCGCCGCGTCGACATCTGCCTCTAATCCCGCCAATTGTGCCCTTTGAGCGGTTTGGGCGGTCCTGTGTCTCTTCGCCATAGTCGGCGGCCGTTGAGGCCTCACGTTGTTAGTACCACTACACCTCTCTTTCCAGTCTCTTGTACCACATTTTTCTCCACCTTGGCACACTTGCCATCTCTCCCCTTTAAACCAACCCACGACCAAAAGCTGATAAGGGCCTTGTCGCCGACTTCCAGTTTCCTCCATCGAACCCATTATGTCCGACTACCGCGGCGACCCGAGGGGTCACTCGTCCAATTACCAGCGCGAAGCCGCCTACTCTAACATTTTCGGCGCCAATCCCCCGCCGGGACGTTCGCAGACAATGACCTCTTCTTCGATGCCTCCCCAGATGATGCCACAACAGCAGGGAGGAAGGACGCAGACAATGTCATCTTCCATGTCGTCTATGCAACGACAGCCGCCCCCGAGGGTGCCTCCAGGCCAGTACATGGACCGCGACCCGGGCTCTCCGAGAGGTGCTCCCATGCAGCCGAATGGCTACCCGGCTCAACAACGCTCAGCGTCCGGCGGCTACCAAGTCCCCAACCCCCAAGCACAATACATGCAGCAACAGCAAGCTCGCCGCCCATACGGAGGGCCTGCCGGGCCCATCCCCCAGCGTGATGGAAGGGGGCCGCCGCCGTCCCAAGGGCAGTACGGCCCGCCAAGAACAGCAGCACAGCGATTTTACCAAGGAGCAGGAGGCGCGGCGCCAGCTATGAATAACGATTCATACCGCTCACAGTCTCTTGCTTCAGCTCCGAGACCGAACATGTACCAGTCTCCTTCGAATGGGTACGGCTCACAGCCTAGTCACCAGTCCCCGGCCAATGCTTTCCGCCATGCTCCGTACAATCCGAGCTCGTCTCGCACAACAGCACAAGGAAGGGTTGTTCCAGAACGCCAAGACGATCGAGCCATGTCAATGACTGGTTATCACCCGCAAGACCGCGATGTGCACCAATACCAGAATTCCCACCAGACTATGAGCGGTCGGGTCATTCCGAATAGAAGGGCGCCCGTGGAATTGCCGGCCACCAATGGAAGTTTCGGAGGCGGCTATACACCAGCGCCAGGGTCTCAGACCAGAACGATGAGCATGGCTTCTTCAATAACCGGCGATCCGAATAATCAGAGGACGATGTCGATGGCGTCTACGGTGGCACCAACGATCACGCCTTCGGAGAGCGACGCGACCCTGACGCATAGACCTTCTATGAGCAAGTCTATCGACGGTGAACGACCCCCAACTGGCAAAATTCGACCCCCCTTGGTATATCCCGCACTGCTATCGCGAGTGGCCGACTGCTTCCGGCAGAAGATCATCACAGGCGACCGGACGAAGAACGAGCTCACGTATAAGAACGCCTTCAGTGGTGCCGAAGCTGTGGATGTCTTGTCGTACATTATTAGAACGACAGACAGGAATTTGGCGCTGCTGTTGGGACGAGCTCTAGATGCCCAAAAGTTCTTCCACGACGTCACCTACGAACATCGCTTGCGAGACTCCACGTCAGAAATGTACCAATTCCGAGAAACTCTGATGGAAGAAACGGAAGAGAGACCTGCGGTCGACGGTGTCTTTGTGCTCCTTTCCGAGTGTTACTCGCCGACTTGTACAAGAGATCAGCTCTGCTACTCCATTGCGTGCCCTCGCAGATTGGAGCAGGTATCTCGGCTGAACCTGAAGATCCAGCCTGGTCTGAAGAAGGAGTCTGAGAACGTCTCGAATGAAGACGATGTTGACCAGACCGATGAACAGAAGCTCTGGATCAACTCTGTCCCGAAGGAAGTGGCCGACAGTATTGGTGACAGGGAGAAGAAGAGACAGGAAGTCATTTCAGAAATCTGCTACACAGAGAGAGATTTCGTGAAGGACTTGGAATATCTGCGCGACTTCTGGATCCTGCCTCTGCGCTCCAAGGCTTCTCCGATACCTGCTAACAAGAGGGAAAAGGTTGTCAAGGCAATTTTCAGCAACATTGTCGATCACCCAAGTTTGCATGCTGTGAGCGCAAAATTCGCCAAGATGTTGACGGAGCGGCAACAGAAGAACCCGGTTGTTGGCGCTATTGGCGACATTTTCCTCGAATGTGTGCCTCAGTTCGAGCCATTTATTTGGTATGGTTCCAAGCAATTGGAGGCCAAGTTCGAATTTGAGAATGAACGATCCGCCAATCCCTACTTTGCCAAGTTCGTTGATGAGATTGAACGGCGGAAAGAGTCACGCAAGCTGGAACTCAATGGTTACCTCACCAAGCCGACGACTCGTTTAGCTCGTTACCCACTTTTGCTGGAAAACGTGCTCAAGTACACAGAGGACGGTAGCTCTGACAAGGAAGATATCCCCAAGGTGCTCAAGTTGATTCGCGACCTCTTGACGAGAGTCAACGCCGAGTCAGGAAAGGCCGAGAACAGATTCAACCTGAGGCGACTCCATGAGCAACTGCGCTTCCGGCCGAACGAGAGGGTGGATCTTCGATTGACAGAGGAAGGCAGAGAGTTGGTATTCAAGAGTCAGTTGAAGAAGACACCGCAAGACGCGTCTGAGATCACTGCTTTCTTGTTCGACCACGCGGTTCTTCTGGTGAGAATCAAGCAGGCTGGCAAGGGCGAAGAAATCAAGGCATACAGGCGGCCGATTCCCTTGGAGCTGCTCGCTATCCGCGAAATGGAAGAGGTTATCCCAGGTTCCGGTGCCATGAAGCGATCTTCGTCAAGCCTGCTGCCCGCCCTTCGAGCCAACACAAACGATAACAAGAAGAGTGAAGGCTGGCCGATCACGTTCAGGCATTTGGGCAAAGCCGGGTACGAATTGACGCTCTACGCGTCTAACCAGGCTGCACGTAAGAAGTGGCTCGAGTTCATTGATAGCGCCCAGCAACGTTTGAGAGCCCGCGCCGACTTCTTCAACACAAGCGTCATCTCCACTGGCTTCTTTGTGGGCACGAACCAAGTCAACTGCGTTACGCCGTACGATGGTGGCCGCAAGTTGCTGTATGGCACGGACAATGGCATCTACCTTTCTGATCGCAAGAGCAGAGATGCGATGCCCAAGCGCGTCATTGAGACGACGAGCGTCACCCAGCTCGATGTTCTTGAGGAATATGGCCTCCTTCTGGTGCTATCTAACAAGGCACTGTATTCGTACCCGCTTGGAGCATTGGATCCGAACGAACCTGCTCTATCCAAGCGACCCAAGAAAATCCAGAGTCACTGCAACTTCTTCAAGACAGGTATCTGCCTCGGCAGACATCTTGTGTGCTGCGTTAAGTCCTCAGCTCTCTCGACTACAATAAAGGTGTATGAACCCAACGATGCTATGTCGAAGGGTAAGAAGCAAAAGGGCTTCGGCAAGATGTTTGCTGGACAAGACGAGCTCAAGCCGTTCAAGGAGTTCTATATTCCCACGGAATCATCGTCCGTACACTTCCTCAAGTCGAAGTTGTGTGTGGCATGTGCCCGTGGATTTGAGGTGGTCTCACTTGAGACCCTTGAGACGCAATCATTGCTCGACCAGGCAGACACGAGTCTCGACTTCGTTGCAAGGAAGGAGAATGTCAAGCCGATTCACATCGAGCGTCTCAATGGCGAGTTCCTCCTCAACTACTCTGAATTCTCGTTCTTCGTCAATCGTAATGGATGGCGCGCAAGACCTGAATGGCGGATCGACTGGGAGGGTACACCGGGAAGCTTTGCTCTTAGCTACCCGTGGATTCTGGCGTTCGAGCAGAACTTCATCGAGCTCAGAAACATTGAGAATGGTGCTGTGCATATTGTGCCACACAAGAACATTCGGATGCTGCACAGCAGCACGCATGAGGTAATGCTTTTTGTCTCCTGCTTATCACGCACCTCACTGACAATTTACAGATCATCTTTGCGTATGAAGACGAGAAGGGAGAGGACGTTGTTGAAGCCATCGATTTTTGGAAGAGCAACAGGAGATCCGAAATCCCTTGATTTCACTCCACGAATGAGTTGTTTCTCATCCGTCTTCCAAGGGAAAACATGTTTTAAAGATCGATACCAGAGTGATTTTACTCAAGAAATTCTTTTTCAGCCGCATCCGTGGCTGCCTTTTGGCGATGGAGATGGCTGCTGTCTACCTGACGGGCGCCAATCTCCGGGGCCGACGGTGTCGGGGGTGATGTTTCATGTAGAAGGGGTGACGGCAATCCTGCTTCGCCATCGATACATGGTTCTATTTTGCATTGTTGTTTCTACTTGGATGAGGATTCTTGTTCGACTGGGAAAGCAGCTTGTCCGCATGCAAAGGCTTGGATGTGGGAGGGCTTGCCAAGGGAGTAGGATAGGACTCGGGAGAGAAAGGATTGAGGGCGAGGATCTAAGGAGAGAGGCGAGCGGCTGGCCGGAACAATTCGAAAGAAGTCGTTCCCATGCAAAAAGATGCTTGTGTATCGCGTGAACGTGAGGGACGTGAGGCGACGATGATGAAGGGTAGGAATAGAGGGCATCGCGTGAGGGGGATTTATCTTACGCATTGTCGTTTGAGCTTTGGGTCTGACGTTGCATACTGTGGTGCGTGGGCGGTTGGATTGATGTTCAACTCTGTGTAATTGCATGAGCGTGTTGGAGAATAAGATCCGGATGTTTACTGACATTGTGTTTCTTCCTCTGCTGGCGTGATGAGTGATGATGTGCTCACGTGCTGGATCAAGTTCTAGGAAGGAGAGGTCTATCCCGACTACCTTTTAAAATCTAGCGTCATGCAAGAGGGATGCGCTGTGAAAGTTGCTCGATGGGAGGGTGCGAGAAAGTATGGACACAACTCGACTATTCTGGAGTTTTATCAGAGCCAAGTGACAATATGGCAGGGCCTTCGAAGAGTCGGTGTATTTGGTGAGCTATTCAGCGCTGTAGTCAAGGCTGCTTGGCATGGCATCGCCGCTGGTATAAAGGTCGGTGGGAATCACTTGCTAAAAGCTGGGAAGACGAGCCATCTGAGTTGTGCTATCCATCTTGGGAGGCGGGGGAGCATCCAGGGACCCGGTTCCGCTGCAGAGATCAGTAGGCAGTCGGCAAGCATCTAGTGATGAGATCTAGGCTTCCCTCGACAGATGACTCTCTTTGTCCATTTCTCAGCTCCAATTACTGTCTGTGTATTGGGAGGAGAACAGTCTCGAGATATGCGAGGGCAGCTACCGGAACCACAGCCGGTAAGATAAGAAACTGAAATCCACATCGGAATTGATAGGAGAAACTCTATCACTAAGGATTGGATCCGGTGGTATGGTCCCTGTGGAAGATGACAAAAGTAGCTTCAAGCGGATGGAGGTTCACGGAGGATTGCAAATTGGCCCAGCTGGATGTGAAAGGAATGGGGATCAAGCTTGATGATCCGATCGCGCAAGATGAGAGATTCAAACGTCAAAAATAAAAAAGCATGGGATTCTATAGCAAGTCTTCAGTCTCGCTACCAGAGAAGATATGGACATTATGAGGATGACTATAACACTGCAGAGCCTCCCGTCGACTCCGCAACTTGGTTCGATTTGGCGCCGACACAGAACTCTTCGCAGCTAAACTTCGTCAAGTTCTAGATCTTCACCATCAGGATCTCCGGGAGGACAGTGAACGACGGACAAAACCGGTGCGTATGGAGTATTGCGACGCAAGGGTTGCTGGAGAGCAGCGTAAACTCGTAGAGCTTCAGATAGGTGACGAAGATGCAATAAGTCTATAAAGACACCCCTCTTGCATGGCATCTACTTTTCTGCAGATCAAATAGAAAAGTCCCTGCAAGAACCCAAAGATCCTGTTGAGGACTGGCGTTGTCAAACCGCAACGCCAGGCCGTTTAGTCCATGAGATCATGTAAGTCAACGAACTGCACTGCTTGCGATTGACCTGGCCTGATCGCGTTTATATGGTGTCAAACAAGTTTCTTTGGCTCTTCTTCTTAATAAAAACAGCTGCAGGTTAAAATAAATCATCAATAGAGTACCCGTCTACAACGTCTTGTCAGACGGGAAGGACCTAGCCTCCATTCTCCCACGTCCCTTCTCTGCACACTTCAAGCATCGCACTTGCCTTCTCATCAGGAGCCCGAACTAATTCAGCCCTGCGGGCTTCTATTTCCTTCTTCGTTTGGAAAATGTCTATTTCCTTCCATTCCCACTTCTCATTTTTCTCCTGCGGCAAAACGCTCCCACAACCCAACCTCATTCTTCCCCCACTATCTCACACCCACTTGCCACAGACCATTCACTTTACCCCGCCAACCCAGCCATAAAGGCCTGCATGATGGCCAAAGAGGATCACAGATGGATGATCGAAACCGGCAAGTTGTCGGATTTCAAACCCATCTGTCGGGGCAAGGAGATTCATGTTCACAAGATAATGCTCGCCAGCCACTCCAAGTATTTTGAAACTCTTCTCAACAGCAGCTTCAAGGTCGTAGTTTCCAAAATGATCTGCATTATACAACGAGAACTGACACATCGGATAGGAGAACATTTACGGCGTGGTCTATTTCGAAGACGTTGAACCGGAGGTTATGCGTCACCTCCTCGACTACTTCTACAAAGGCACCACTGACTGGAATGCCCCCAAGGCCGATTTGGTGCTACATGTCCGGCTCTGGGACCTCGCCAATCGGTTATAGGCTTTCACGATCATGCTCACCATTGATAAGCGACTGATGACTGCGCTGTGGTCTTACAAGAGCAAGCCCTTGGCCATTAATCTCATTGATATGGTCTTCGCGCACCCGACTTGTGCAAAATCTGCTCTGGGATACATCATTGGCGAGGCCGCTTGGATCTTGTATATTGATACGCGGCGCCCTGACGCTGCTGCTTGGGTGACAAATGCATTGTCCAGGTATCACAACCTGTCGAACATGATGGTCTGGTGGTCTGCTCGATACGCCAAATCCAGTAGCAAGCATGGACTACCCGTTCTATCGATCAACACCGTGGATGTGAGAAACAAGCTGATCGAAGGATCTTTCACGAAGATAGCCGGAGATCCGGCCAAGACCTGGCTCCAGCCAGAGGCCAAACCTTGAGCCTCGCCTCCCGTCGACTCTTCGACTCGACTCAGATCGCAAGGCTACTTCGTTTGCATACTTACGTTCACCCTGTAACACCTTCAGAACTGTAGCATTGTTTGGTGGACTTGAAGCGACTTTTCTTGTCAGTCACTGACGGTGGGAGGGTATGAAGAGAAGAGGACAGGACGGAGGTGGATGAACAGCTTGAGATTCGTGTCACTCCTGCGAGGGTCATTTTTTACCAATCCACCTCTTCAATCACATTGTTGGAACTCAAAAGATAGAGGCAGGAGGGCTACAGGAGCATTAATAAGAAGACTCCGATCGACTTTTATCGGCCAGAGAAACTTGTATCTTTCAGAATGTTTTCCGCGAGAACAAAATCATCTGTCCCTTGGATTGCGGAATATTGCTTGTGATTTGAATGTTATTAGATTCTAACGTGGTATCGAGCTAAAGTAAATACAAGCGCCGTCATGCAAACCGTGAAATCATCACCCCCTGTCCCCATTACAAAAAGAGAAGACACCGATTTCTCCTCTATTTCTTGGTACCAGCCAGGTGCCACTCAAACACCTTTCTGAATCTCTCCTTTCCATCGCCCTGGATGGTGTCTCCGTGGCAGGGAATGAGCGTATCAAAGTCCCACGCATCGATCCTCTGGATGCTCTCGTTGAAGCTCGGCCTGTCCTTGCTGCTCATCACGTACCACTGGAAGCGCTTCACCCACTTGACGTCGCCCTCGGTAGTCTGCAGGCCGCCAAACAGCTTGTTGCCGAAGCCGGAGGAGGTGTCGCGCTCGCCCTCGGGCGCCTTGGAGTACTGCTCCCGCGGGGGCAGGTTGAAGAGCAAATCCGCCTGGATAAGGACACGCTCGGGCTTGAAGTAGAAGACGAGCTCCTTGTTGGCGTGGGCGTCGACGTACTCGTACTCGAAATCGGCGTCAAACTCGGGGGTGATGGTGGTGCTCCGCTTCTCGGCGCCGTCCTTGAAGACGACGAAGAATTCGTCCGACGTGTTGATCTTGGGGTCGCCCGTCTGCTTGGCGCGCTTCTGCGGCAGGCCGTCGGGGCCGATGATCTTGGCCTGCGGGTAGGCGGCCTTGTACTCGGAGATGAAGATGTGGTGCTCCATGTCGGGGGCGATGATGTAGGCGAGGTTGCCGCCCTTTTCGGCGATTTTGGCCTTCACCGCGTCGGTGAGGGCGACGGGACTGAAGACGGCGAGGGAGCCGGAGGTGAGGCGGACTAAGGTTGCGCGGCCGCCGATTTTGAGGGTGCCGAAGCGGGAGAAGGGGACGGAGAAGGTTGTGATGTTGGGGGTAAGGTCGCGGATGACCATGACGTCTGCCGGGTTTTGGGGGATGAGTTTTGAAGACATTGCGAGGTTGTGGATTTGATATTTGGCGGATTGGAGAGGGTTGGTGGTGTTGTTGTTATCCTTGAGTTGTTGCTCTGGCGAGTCGAGGGTGTGTTGGCCCTGGGTTGGCGACTGCGAGTTGGTATTGGTGTTATTGTTGGTGTGAGATGAGTTTCCTGCTGCTGCTGATGATTGTTGCGATTGGGACTGAGCTTGCGGGTTATGAGTTGCCGTGAATGCTCTGCGATGGATGCGCGAGGGGTTGAGGTGGCGGGCGTGGGCTGTTATAGCCGGGTATCTTGATAGTCTCTATATAGAGGAATGTGATTAGAAATTCAAAAGTGCGTGACAATGTGCGAATAGGCAGATCTTGAAGCTCTTTATGAGTTGTGAGCTTAGTGTGAGGAGGACGGGCGACTACCTATATATGAGGTAATGGCGGGCGGCGGGCTGCTGGGATGAGGCAAGTTCACGAGCTAAAAAAAAAGCACGTACCATTTCAAATTCAACGTATGTACCTTGCGGTAAGGGTTCAAGTCCGAGGGAGACGACGTTCTAGAATTGGAGAGGTGGGAGGGCGCGGGAGTGGGGGATGCCGCCGTCAGCAAATGGGCTGGCCAATTTTTGTTTTCCTCAAGAGGTGACTTGGGAACGGTTTGATAGGTGATTGGGATGAGTTCCGCGCAGGAGAGAGATCGTCCGGGTGTGGTCGGGAAATGGTGCTGAGTCGGGGGAGAAGACGTTTCATGGAATCCGATGGGGTGACCGGCGCATGGGAAATGAGATTTGAATGCCTTGTTCGGGTCGGCCGAGCTTTTTCTTCTCAGCTGTCCTATGAACTTCTTGGTAGGACCAGACCAAACCGGAACTCTTCTCTATTCTTGTTGCGGCGAGCTTTGCCCTTTGTCTGCTGAAGCTTTTTTCCGCTTTCTGGTAATGTCTTACTATATCCGTAGACTCTCAATGTATTACGATTGATGTTGAACTGGCGATCGACCTCAGGTTGTCGCAAAGAGTCTCTGTACAATAACTTGAATTGATAAGCGAGTGCGAATATGTCAAATTGGTGTTCGATGGGTGGTCAGTTGGGTGTCCGGACCAGCCGCGGCGGGTGCTCCTGCAGGTTGCTGTCAGTCAGAACGTTGTTTCCCACCACAGCCCACTGACAGGCGCTGGGCGTGGCACCCCCAAGTCATGACATCACTGGCCGGGTGGTGTGAGGTGGAACCGCATCAGAGTGACATCTTCCATTGCGCCCTACGCTACTCACACTGCCGCGCTGTTAGTAAGCCAGGCGCCAGCAGCCATCTGTAATAGCATAGTAGTGCCTTTTTGCTAACCCCAAGCTCCATTTCCAAAAAAGAGCGCCGTCTTACTCTGCTTGGTATCTCGCGGCCGAGGTAGAATCGGGGACGGCGGATCGTAGACGCCGTTCAAGGCCCCGAACGAATGGATTTCGATGTGCTGGTCCGCTGGTGCACCAAGTGCCGGGCCGGGTGACGGGATCCTCCTTCCTAGTTCCCTTCATTCAACTTGCTTGTCTTGGTAATCCAAAACGTCTCCAGCTGCCAGCAAGCAGGCGCGCTTGCGGTTCCGCGAAACATTTCCTCCGATTCCCTTCACTTTTTATGGGAACCGGGGAGACGAATCGTCCCGTTGCAGAGCAGAGGTGCAAAACAGAAAAGGTACGGGGCCGAGGCACAGACGCCGGACTAGACCGAAAGTGGGAATCTTCTAGATAGTGGGGCGCCCGGGGCGCTAGGCCCTTTTCCGCCCCGTAAAGTGCGGCTTCTTTCCATCCTTTCTTCTCTCTTTTTCTTATGGCCCAGGGTCCCGGGACGGAACTGGCAACTGGATCATGAATGACACGACATGGGCCTGGTTCCCCGAATTCCAAATCATGCGTCGGAGAGCTGAGCGGAGGTTGTCGTCAGTTTGTCACTGGTTCGCTGGTTCACTGGTCACTTGTTGGTCAGTCAGTCAGTCAGTCAGTCACACAAGTCTTTCTCTTTCGTTCTCGTTTCCTGTCAAGACCATGTCAAGAGCGGACACACGGATCGTCAACTGGTAAATGATGCCATGTTTCTCAAAATCTCTTTACATGCTCTTTCCCAAAACAGCATTCATCCGTACAACCAGTGAACCAATATGCTCTCAGTCATTAGGTAAGCAAAATACAACAAGTTACAGACGATACTCCGTGGAACCATAAACCGACGATCCGTACAATTGCTCCCTGTAGACTTCCCGGACATGCATACGCAACACCGTTTATCGTTTGTCCATCATCAGACGAAAAGCTTCTACCACACATACCTTTGCCCACCGCCAAAATCTCCGTCTACTAACAGATCCCCCGCCAAGACGCGCGCGCGGGATACTCTCCCCGTCTCCCATCTTCCGCCTCCCGCGCCTTCCACGGGCACGAACTTTCACACATTCCTTTTACCCTCCAAACATCAAAGTCCCCTCCTGATGCCCGCCGCCCCATCGTCAGTAGTAATAGGAACAGGAGGCTCCGCCGTAGAGAACCCAGAAAGCCTCATATCGATCCCGTCGAGACCCCACCACCTGGACCGTTCCGGATGCAGAGCTCTCTCGATGTAGTACGCCCTCGTGTACCCGTTGGCCATATCGTAGACCCTCTGCACGGCCCACGTCGCCATGAGCGCCTGGTACAGGTAGTAGAACCAGTACAATATGATCGCGTCCTTGATCGCCAGCGCCACGAGTTTGGGCGACGGAGTCGTTGGTGGACCCGGTCTCCAGCGCCTGCCGGGCAGGTAGTAGACGGCCGAGTAAAGGTTCCCGACGACCAGCCAGTAAAGCACCTGCTTCCACGCGACGCCGTGGATGCTTATGCAACTCCAGAAGGCGAGGAGGAGGCGCACGAGGTAGCTTAGGCGGGGATTCTCGATTCTTGCTCTCGTGTCGCTGTCCATGTGCAGGAGGCCGGCCAGTCGTACCAGGAGAAGGCCGTCGTCTTCGGGGACCACCGCCGCTTCCGTTCCGGAGGCGGATTCGGCGGTCGCTTGGCTTGTGACGCTTTTGGTGTTGCGTTCATGACCACAGCAACGTTTGTATTTGGCGATCATCCTGATGAGGTCGTCGATGACATTTTGTCTAGAAGGCACCGGCATGCCTGCTAAATCGCAGGCACCAAGGCAGGGACAGCCACACGTCCTGCCGCTTCCTGTCTGCTTCTTACCGGGTCCTCGAGGACCGCCGCCCGGTTTGGCGCCAGGTCCGCCGCTGGAACCTTCACCATGGTTGTCATCATCATCATCATCATCGTCGTCGGGATCACCACCAGGACCACCGGGTGCGCCTGCGTGCTGCTTCCCATTCTCCTTCTTATCCTGCACAGGCTTCTCTCCAGATGTCCCCTCTTCAGCAGCCTTCAAGTTCTGCTCATCCTGATCAATCATCAAATCTACATTAGTTTGAGCTTGCTCCTGCAGCTGCTTCTCCATCAGTGTCATCCTCTTTCTGGCATGTTGGAGCTGTATCCTCTCGGCCTCCAACTCCATCTCGCACAACCCGAGTCGCCGCCTCTGCGAAGCCATGATCTCCCTCAACTTGGACTGCTGAAGCCTCATAGAAGCGTCTCGTTTAGCCAGTCGGTCGTCAAAGTCTCGCTTTTGCTGGCGGATTTGCCGGTCGTTGAGATCTCGCAGATTCTTCGACTGCCTCTCGTACTCCTTCATTGCGTCAACGAACTCCTGCTCTCGCTCCGACTCCGCCTCAATCGGGAAATCTTCGACCTCTTCTTGGTAGTCGGGGACGTCCAGGTGTAGAGCGTTGGTGATGCGCTGCCGCATCCGGGCCAACTTTTGTGCGTCAGTTCCCGATGTACCCGCCGTGGCGTCCAGAGCCCGTTCCATGTCGGTCGCCAACGTCCTGCCTCTGTCTACCAACTTTTCGTTGGCCCTCCGCAGCTGGCGAATTTCTTCTTGCAGGTCCTTGACGGCACCGACGGTCTCGTCGAATACGGCGCTCTTCGTCGACCGCTCCTCGGCAAGCTTCTTCTCCAGATTCGCGATCTCGCGCTCCATCTTTTCAATTTCCTTCTTTTGCTCTTCGTAGTAGTATATTGTCTCGCGGATCTCCTTGTCCACGCCGTCGTCGACAGCTTGCCTCTTGTCGCTTTCCAACTTGCTGATAGTCTCTTTCAGCTTTTCGTTCATCTTCTCCGAAGTCGATGCGCGAGCATCTGCAGCGAAGCGTACGAGCCTCTCCTCGTTTCGTAGCTTCGCGGCTATCTGCTTGAAGTCTTCAAGCTTCTGTTCCCACGCCTTGTTCTCTTTCTTGAGCCGCTGAGCCTCTTCCACGAGCTCGTTGTCAGACCGGCCCACGAACTCGTTGACCTCCCTTGCCTTGAGGGAGGCGATTGTCGCATTGGCCTTTTCGAGCATGATCTTGAACTGTCGAGCCCTGCTGCGCAGGAATTCGTAGTTTTGGGAGTTGATGCCGTCGTGAATGAGGCCCTCGATTACATAGTTGAGACGTTCAAGATTGCTTTGCACATTCTCACAACACATAGACCAGTCATTCAGCGGGTCCCAGATGCTTCTTGGGAGGTAGGACGGTAGAATTCGGTCCGTGGTGGGGAAATTGAAGAAGTCGCTTGATGCCTGCGAGGAGATTTCGGTTGCGAGGTCGTCAAATGCGTTGTGGCTCTGGAATGCCCTCCGGGACTCGTCGTTTTGGCTGTCCGGGGTGGCTGGCTGCGCGGCAGCAGACGACGGTCCCGCGTGAGAAGATCCCGGGTCTCCTGGATTTGTAGGTGCGCTGGGAAGCGGATGTGCAGGAACGCCGGAGGGTGCCGGTCCTGGCTGTTGACGGACGGGGTCATCAGCGACTTGCAGATTTCGCGCGGCCTCCATGATGGCATTTCGAGCGTAAATGCAAGCCCGTTGTTCCCGATATGTTTGCGTCAGAATCTCCCGGATGGTATGTACGCGTGCCTCCCAAGCAGTTCGCTTGGGCGACACGTACTGATCGTCGTCCCCATCGACGGTGCCATCGCCCGAACTTCCTGGATCGCCGTCGTCGGGGAATCTGTAAGCCTTCTTCTTGCCTCTCCACTTGTCTAGGTCCTCTGACGGACGGTTGAGTGAAGGGTCTGGGGGCAGCGGGGGGTCGGCGATGTTCGGCTGGGTGCCGGCGGCTGAGCTTGGCCCGGCGACGGTGGCCTCCGAGCCAGCCAAGTCTCTAACGGCCTGTCCCACGGCCCTCTGTTCTCGTCGGATCTGCCGGGCTGGCTCGCGCGGATTGCCCAGATCTTGGTATAGCCGGTTGAAGATCCCTCCGTAATGAGCAATGTTTCTGCGCAATATCCGCCCCTCTTGCTCTAGGGTCGCATAGGCCTCGTCCCTCATCCTCTCCAATGCGACGATGGCTTTGCGAAGTTTCTTTGGATCGTCACCAGGGTCCGGTCCGTCTATATCAAAATCATCATCATCGTCGCCAGAAGGAGTTTCGCTACTGCTGGCAGTCACCCAGTCGCTGCCTTCGGACTGACGAGGTTGATTCTCACCATCGCTCCCGGCGACATTGTTTCCGCCGCTATCTTCGTTGGCTGCCCTGTTCGCCGCCGTATTCGCCGCCGTGTTGGCGGCCCTGACCTCGATCCACTCGAGCCGTTCTTTGTACATGTGAATCTTCTGCGCGAATTCGTACAGCTCGTCCGGGTAGTTCTCAATGTTGGTCTCAAAAAAGTGCCTCTTCTGCATGCCCAGTTCGTACATCTTAGTGCGAGCTTCCTGGAAGGCGTCACGAAGTTCTACCAGGCGGTCAACCTCGTACTCGTCAGGATCTTCTGGTAGCTCCATCCTCCCAAGTGTGTCGCACAACCTCTTGAAGAAGGAATCAAGCTTGTCAGCGGTGGCCGACTGCTTTCGTATCAGACCTTTGAAAGTGTCTTGGAACTGCTGGTGCATGGCTCTGAATTCAGGAGGTGTGCCTTGGTTGCCTGATGTCGCCTTCACAGTCACCTCGCTAGGCGGTTGGTGATCGGGGTTCCGCGTCGAGCTCTCGACCGGCGGCGCGTAGTGAGTCTGCGTGCCCTGATGAGAGATCATGATCCCGCTCGGCACGGTCGTGCCCGACAAGACCCGCGTCAGTCCCTCGTTCTCGCTCGTCAGAGACAAGACTTGTCTTTCGAGTCCTGCCGACTCCCTCCGGTGATCCTCCTCCAGATTCTGGATCTTGAGCTCGAGGGCATCCACCGTCTTCTGATGTTCATCTTTGATCTTGGCTAGACCAGCATCCTCGTCGGGGGCTTGGTTCCGACTCTCCAGCTGTTGAACCCTAAGCTTGAGCTCCTCCATTTGTTTCTGTTGAGCTTCGATCTCCGTCGGATCTGCAACCTCGCCAGCAGCTGACTTGAGGCTCTGCAGGTCGTGAATCTTGGATTCGAGGCCATCCACTACTTCCTGGTGCGTAGCTTTGGTCCTCTCCAGCTCAGTCTTGCCCACCCCAGCTCTTCTCTCCAAGGCCTGAATGTCGTTCTCCAACTTGTCGACGGTTTTGTTGTGCTCCGCCATCCACTCTTCTCGCAATTCCTTGTCTTTCTCAATCAGCTTGCCTTTGATCATAGTTTCGAGGTGATCGACACCCTCTTGCTCCACTATGAGGCGCCTCTTCAGCTCACTGTCGTATCTTTCTTTTGCAGAGCTCCATTTGTTCCGGAATTCGACCACCTTCTCTTCAAGTGTGCGTACTTCCGCATTGAGGCGCTCGCCATGTTCGTGGCAGTAGTCGAGTGCCTTTTGCTTCGCCTTCAACTCCTCCATCTTTTCCCTGAGTAAGAGGTCCTTTTCTCTTATTTCCCTATCCTTTTGTTGGATTTCTTTGTCCTTGCGTATGATCTCTTCAATCTTCTTCCTCATTTCCTGCTCAGTTTCTTGTAGTCGCTCCAGAAGTATGACGTATTTCTCTGCGACTTCGTCCGCGGATTCCATGTACGTCTTGAGATCCTCCTTCGACGTGTCTCTCTGTTGGACCAATTCCACCTTTTCTTCCTGGAGCTGGCCCCTCTCGAGAGCCAGGCTGTTTCTTTCCTCCCGAAGTAGTTTGGCATCCTCATCGAGGCCTGCCATCATCTGTTGAACCTCTTGCAGATCTTTCCGGGTCGTCGCCTGGTCGCTTTCCGCTTTGTCCACGCGGTCGATCAAGTCGGCCACAAGCTGAAGATGCTCTCCTGGGTCGTCCAGCGAGCTCAAGCCCGTGCTCGATCCATCCGCTGTGGCAGCCTCTTGAGCCAACTTTTCCTGTGCCAACTTTTCTCGCGCGCAGGCGTACGTAGCCTTGGCCTCGGCTTTGCCTAGTCTGTCGTGGACAGCGCTTAACTGCCTCTTGAGCTGTTCAGAGACCTGCGACATGAACTCGTCCCTTTTCTGGAATCTCTTGAGCTCTTTCGTCCGTTGCTGGAGCGTGACTTCCAGGTTCTTGATCTTCTCGTTGGCTTCATTGCGCTTGGTCTCGGAGTCTTGTTTGTCGCGCGTCTGGACGGCAGATAGTCTGCTGGCTTCTTCCCTCATTCGGTCGGCATTGGATTCGTGCTCCTTGATTCTCTGCTCCAGCACCTGAGCGCTTGCTTTCAGCTCCGCAACTTCGTGAACATGCTTCTTGGCATCGTCTTTGAGATCTTTGATCTCGTTGTCGGCTTCCTTGCGATGATGTTGACATTCGTTCAATGCGTTTTGGGTATTGCGAAGCTCAAGAGACATGTCTCCTTGGTTAACCTTGCTTCCCTGAGACCCCTGAATACTGGTTAGTATCACCTCAAGAATGGAGAGGCTCAAACTCACTGCCGAAGACACTCTATCGAGTCTGTCGAGTTCGTCCTCGAGTGTCTGTTGCGTTCGATTGGGGCTGCCCTGTATCTCTTCCGGTTCCTATGAATCCAATTATTATTTTTATTCAATCTTGCGAGGTTCAATTCAGCTTACCGCGGAGGACTGGCTGTTGAATTCTCCAAGCTCCTTCGCGAGATTAAGCCTCACTTCAGGCTCGCTCTCGGTCTGCGATTCTTCAGATTTCGAAGCCACCGCCCCAGAAGCCCGCTTGGGAGGCGAGAATAGATCATCAGACAGTGACTGCGAAGGCTTTTCGTCGGAAAGCACGACAGCATGAGGGTATCTGCGGAAGCCGTCGTTGCCGTCGCACACCAAGTCCGCTAGTCTAGCTTCCTCTTCTCGCCAGTTGCTGTATAGGTTGCTCGCGGCATCATCCATGGCGAGGCCGTAGAAGCCGACAACCTCTCCAATGATGTCTCGCATATCATCCATGGGAACGTCTTGCTTCAGTGCCTCGTCGCGTTCCGTCTCTGCCTGGGCTAGTCGCAACTCCAAGTCCGAAACTTCGCCCCTCGCATTGTCGACGAGCTTGCGATATTCGGCAAGGGGAACGTTCTCGTGGTCGACGGTGAAAGTCATGTTTTCCACCTCGATTTGGGCTTGGGAGACTTTCCTGGTCTGCTCCACCAATTGTTTCCGAAGACTCTCGACTATGGCTTGCGCTTCCTTGACTTGCTTTTGGTGGTCCACCAACTGCTTTTCCATATAAGATATGTCATCTTCATGCCGTTTCTCCTTCGCCTGCCACCCGCCCCTCTCGTCTTCGAGTTTGCGCTCCGCTAATGCCCTGGCTGACATTTCGGCATTTAGCTGATCACGGAGTTTAGATATGGTGTTTTTAAGCTCTTCCTCGTTCACTGGAGGAGCCATTTGTTGGATGCGCAATTGAACTTCATTGAGCTCTGCTGTGCGGTGCTGCAGGCTAATCTCTTTCTCGTTGCACTCATTCGCAGCCGTCTTGAGCTGGTTCTGTGTTGCTTCCAGGTCCGACTTGAAGTTTTCTCGCTCGTTGTTACACTTCGTGAGCTGGATTTCGAGGTCTCGTACCCGTTGCTCAAGCGAGCCAAGGTCGCCAAGTTTGTCGGTTTGCGTTGCCACGATCTGTTGCAGTGCAGTCTTTTCCCCCTCAAGCTGCGCGTGTGATTGCGTCGAGGCCTCGAGTTTTGAAATCTCTACCTGAAGCTTCTCGTGCCTTGTACTGCATTCTTCGGAGACCTTTAAGGCAAAATTCTTGAAGAGCTCCTCGCATGTTGCGGGCGTCGGCTCCTTGTTGACTAGATAAAGAATGCCGTGTGATTCCGCGAGGCCTCTCAAATAATTTCTCACACCCTCGAGCCTCTTCGACTCAGTCGACTCAATAGGCTCCGTGGTTGATGCTGGATTGCTCGGTTGAGTCTCCTCGCCTTCTTGTTGGCTTAGCGGAGTCGACTCAGAGGTGGCTGGGGCCGGACTCTTCGGTCTGCTCGTCTGTCTTGCTTGCTGGACGAGCACAGTGCCCCTGGAAACGTCGGGGTTGCGACGTCTGCCCCTGGATACCGAACCATCGCGCCGGGAGACGCTTGAGCTCCTGGAGGCTGAATCTGATGGCACTGCTTGGTCACGACCTCGACTGACCGGAAGCCCTGCTTCACTAGCAGGACGACCAGAAGATATGTCCTGTATGGCTAATACGGGCGTAGCTGGTGTTGGGAAACCATCTCGTGAAGGGCTTGCCACGCTCCGCATATCCAACTTCGCTCCAGTGGCACCCTTCCCAGCCATTGCGGCCCAGGAGAATCTGGAAGAATTTGTTGTGGTTGGCGAGTCAACGTGAGGCGCTAATGAGACGGACGCTCCCCTTCCACTTCGCTGTTGCTCTTCATTTGCTGGAGGTTGTTCGGAGCCCTGATCCGACGAAGTCCGCACATCTAGCTCATCTTTCTCAGATGCTGTTGTCGCTGGAGGTTCCTCCCGAGAGCTTTTTCGGCCTCGGAAAACCTCCTTCTCCACAACTTCATCGCCCTTCTCCCCAGCCATCTCTCTCGATGCTAAGTATGTCAGTCTCCAAGCAAGGTGTACTTACAATTTCTCTCGTATGATCTGTGGTGTATAACAGCAAGGAAAACAAGTCAGAGAGTGATAAGAAGAGGAATGGAAATGGCAAAAGCTCCCCAAAGGTCTTTGATCCGTGTGGACGCGCCGTACTTATGGTATAGCTTGTCTTCAAAATGACGAACATTGACTTGGCCAGGAGAAGTCCCGAAGTTGGAAGGATACTCGGATAAATTCCATCGACATGTTGAAAGCATTCGACCTCTAGCCAGGGGCAGATTTTCCCAAATCGAGGGATACGATAATGCCTCCGTTTGCGTACCAGACTGCCCTGATGTCAGTGCAACTCCCATTCAACTCTCAACAAAGCTTCCAACCCCGAATCTGAAAATAACAAGTCAAAGGCTCAATGCCGAATAAGGGAGCGCAAACCAACAATGAGTACTCTGGAGTTGGTCAAAGACTTGCGGACGTGCACATCCCTTGGAATTTTGGACCGTCTTTGTGGCCAATTTCCCCTACCTCGCCTTCGCCTCATTCACCTCTTCGTACTTTACCTTATGACATGACACATAGTGAGCAAGCCCGTTTTGAAGTTTCGGCAAGTCGAGGACGGTCCAGAAAGTGATGCTGCGGAGGGCGCCAGTTGCCCCATTGATTCATTGCTAGGTAGGTCAAACAACTCCCCCATACACTGGCGACCTTGGGAATATTCCTCCAATCCTCCGTTTTATAATACCTCCCACAAAACTCCATTGCAACATCTTGACGTGGTATTCTATATATCGTCCTGCACCAGTGAACGATGGAACCAAGATGCTATGCCGAAACGCCAAATACGCCGTTTTGTCTTCTTCTAACTGTACCATCCCCTGGCACCGGGACCTTGCGCTGTTGCTTCTTTCCGATGGGTGATCATCGGCTCCTTGATCTCAAATGTGTCAATGATATCTTGCCATGTCTGCATGTCCATGGAGAAGATTGCTTGCTGCTTCGCCGTCTCACGCTTGACCGTGCCGTCTTCGTTTGCGTCTCCATTGCTGATGGGATCTGGAATCCGGTCAGTACAATCAAGGTTACATGTTTAGATGATAACCGGCTTACTGAGAGAGGGGTACTCGTCGCTGTCAAATTCGATGCCAACCTTTCCATCACGAATGAGGAAACTGACATAGAACATGTTTTCGACCGTTTGGCCGAAAGACTTGGGGTTGACAACGAAACGAAGAAGGTCAACACCGCCTGTATCCCGTAGACCATACTTCTGCATGAGTTGAATCTGCTCGGCATCGTCCATTTCGGTGTTTTCGAATATTTCAGAGAGCTCCGTTTGGATGCTGCTTTGCACCTTGTCCAGCTGCTTCAGAATTTTACCGCAGATAGCGGTCAAATCATTCTCCTTCTTGGCAAGGTCCTCAACATTCAACACCTCGGGTCTTGTCTCTTCCAGGTTATTGGGTCTGAAAGGGGCGGTGCGCTTCGATATCTTGCGTACTTTCTTCTCAACGGACAAGGGACCAAGAAGAAAACCGGGCAAGGCTGGCCGACGAACATTTGGTAAGGAAGCGAAGCGTCCCAGATGGCTCCAGTTGAAGGCCTCGTCGTTTCCTTCATCCTCCTCATCTCGTGAGTTGTTATTGGTGCGGCGTCTCCGTCTTTGTGTACCCGATAGCTCTGGCGCCTCGTCGTCTGCGATTCCACCGGCTTGCCGCATGTAGGTGCAGCACTTGGAGACAAACTCATCCACATCGACACCCTCGGTGGAGCTTCCCTGCATCAACCTCACGGTTTTGCGGTACGACATATCGACGGCGCTGACAAGCAGGCGAGAGTCTATTGTCGCCTCCGTAGTTTGCTTCACACCCTTGGCAACGCGCTGAGCCATCATCAAGGTATCCTTTAGACCCGTTGAGCCTGGCAGCATGTACTCTTCCATATTTTCGGTAATGCCTTTTTGAAGGTCTCGTAGCTTTCGTTGAATTTCTCGACGCTCTTCCATCGGTTGGTCTGGGTCATAGATGTCTGAATCGTATTCTTCTTCTCTCTCAACGGAGCGCGTAGCTCGGCGACGGGCGGCATGACCCCCATTTTCTGTGTCTGTACGTTTCCGCTTGCCAATGGAGACATCGCGATCTTTGCCTTTGTCTCTCGCGGCGAGATGACCGCGCGCAGGACGGGGCGCATCATCTTCGCTCGACTCGGGGGAGGACGAGCCTCCAACTCTCGCCGGCATTCTCGATGTTGACAGGGTTGATTGGTGAGAAGTTTCTGTGTGTTCGGTGGTATAGTCGTCGAGGATTTTGGTTTGATATGAGGCAAGGCCTGGCGTAGAACCAAAGGGTGCGCCTTCTGCACGGTGTTCGATGACGACCTCGGGTGGTTGTGCAGGATATCACGCGTGAAATTGCGACTGAACATGGAAGACGCGACAGGCACTTCCCAGGCGACCCTTCCACTCAACGCGCTCTAGCAATCGTTATCGTACCTATAGGTGCGTGGGGTGAATGTGGCTAGGTAAGGATGACTGCCTTATCGATAGGAAAGAGATATGTGGCTGAAGCGGGGGTCATAGACGACAGCGGTCCACAGCTTGCTGGCCCATGCTGGGAGGCACTACCTACCTAGTGCACTCCACTGGAGCTTCCCACAGTCAGCTGCCGTCTAGGTACCGGTGCCCGGTTATCCAGTCTGGTGCAGTCAGTGACCTCAACCTGCTACCCACAAACACATGCGATCGCTGTCTGTCTGTCGCATTCGCCCAACGACATTCTGCAACTTGCCTGCTCCATTGCATAATGGACTCATAACCTCTTCGAACGAGCTCCTATTCCCACGATGGAGCCATTTTCATTTGCCAGCTCCGAGTCTCTAGACTATCCAGTCAGCATTCGCATGTATGCGCCCAGCTACTTCGTCATTCCCAACCCGAATAATGCGCGTGACTGATGCTGCCGTGATAGTATCAATTTAGAGGGCGACGAAACACCATTTTTGCATTCCACTTTATTGGAAAAGGCCGAGCTGAGACACATCGGCTCTAACACAAGGTAACACCTTTCGTACGGCTGCTGGTCGGCATCGCTGACTTGATAGTTCGCACTCCGATCTCTACGTCACCGTCCAAGTATGGGCCGGTTCGAAGCCGTTGACAGTGCCCATCCAGACGGCATATAAGTCGTTTCGTAATGAGAGGAGGTAAGCGGCGCCCCTTAGTTCTGGTAGTTGGTCCTAGAGAAACACTTCTAACCCGTAGCGCGCATAGATGGAACGAATGGCTCACTCTACCGATCAACTACAAAACCCTCCCTCTGAACTCCTGCCTAGCCATCACATTATGGGACTCGTCGCCAGCTGGAGGAAAACAAGCGAGAGGCCATGCGATCCCCTTCGGCGGCACAACGCTCCCACTGTTCGACCGAGACAATCAGGTGCAGAAGGGCCGGCAGAAATGCATGGTCCACCGACACAAGAACGCTGATGGGAATGATAATACCACTACACCTGCGGTTCCGAGGAAGAAACGGGACGGCTCGAGGAAAGGAGCCGCTCCAACCGTAGACAAGGATGCTGAAGAGTTGGAGCGCATGGAGAAGCTATTCAAGAAGCACGAAATGGGCGAGATACCCAGAGTCGACTGGCTCGACCAGCTTGTCTTCCGTGGCTTTGAGAAGCGCGGGCTACAGTCGGCAAAAGCCTCACTCAAGACTATGCAACGCCAGAGGACGACCAACGGAGATGTATCGACCGAAAAGGAGGGAATATCAGGCGAAAAGGGTACTGTGAACACCGAGTCCCATCCTGGGTTTTCCAAGTTCCAGCTCAACGTGGAATTGCCGCGATTCGACTTCCCAGTTGTATTCGCGGATCTGGAGTATGATCCTCCGCCGATTTCGGCACTTCAGCATGTGTCTGCTTCTCAGTCTAATGTAATGCTGAAGCCGCCGCCCGAAGTGCAGTTTGGTCCCGGTATCGACGCGCTTGACGATTCAGCTGGGAGTCGATTGATGAAGGTTTATGACCCCGAGGTTGGTGCTCGCGACAATCCAGCCGAAAGCAAGCACAGAAGGCTGGTCAGAAGTCAGCATCGCCACGGGGTTCTCGACAAGGACCTCAAACCAAATGCTAAGGTCCGAGATGAGCTGAATCTCATCATGTCGTATTCGCCAACCCACACGTTAACCCCGGAGGAGAAGGATTTGATCTGGAAATTCCGCTATCATCTCACTCGAGACAAACGGGCTGTCACCAAGTTTGTAAAATCAGTCAACTGGCAGGACCAAAGCGAAGCCAAGCAGGCAGTGCAAGTCTTGGGACGCTGGACCGAAATCGACGTCGACGACGCTTTAGAGTTGCTTGGCCCCACCTTCGACAACCAAGCTGTTCGAGCATATGCTGTGGAAAGACTACGTAAGGCGGATGATCATGAGCTGCTCCTTTACCTGCTGCAATTGGTGCAAGCCTTGAAATACGAGCATATCAAGGCCGACTCTTCCCAGGAGGCCATTCATGATTCGTCTCTGGCTCAATTCCTAATATCCCGAGCAGCTGGTAACTTCCTTCTTGGCAACTACTTCCATTGGTACCTGATGGTCGAATGCGACGATCACAGCCCAGAGCAGGGGTTGGATAACCGCAACATCTACCGAAAGGTGGCCTACGACTTCATGACTGAATTAGTGAAGCAACCAGATGGAGTCGAATCGAGAAAAACACTCTTGAGACAGGCTGAGTTGATTGCCATCTTATCCAAGATTTCCGGAGAAGTCAAAACGTCACACGAATCAATCGCCAAAAAGACTGACCGCGTCAAACACTTCTTGGCAGATCCAAAGAATGAAATTCTGACAATCGACCCGCCATTGCCTTTGCCGCTCGACCCTACTATGCTAGTGGTCGGGGTGGTACCTGATGAGACGACGGTCTTTAAGTCATCCCTTTGCCCAATTAAAGTCACTTTCAAGACCAGCACCAGCAAGAAGTATCCTATTATCTTCAAAACTGGTGACGACCTCCGCCAGGACCAGTTGGTCATTCAAATCATTACTCTCATGGACCAATTACTGCAGAAAGAAAACTTGGATTTGAAGCTGTCCCCCTACAAAATTCTGGCTACCAGCACAACAGCAGGCGCTTCTCAATTCGTTCCGTCCGTCAGCTTTCAAAGCATTGCTTCGAAATTCAGGAACAATCCGGCACTTACCTACTTGAAATCAAACAACCCAGACGACCGGCAACCCCTAGGTCTGCGTCAAGAAACTCTGGACACCTATATCAAGTCTTGCGCCGGATACTGCGTGATCACCTACATTCTAGGTGTCGGCGATCGGCATCTGGATAACCTTCTCCTCGCTCCGGATGGGCATTTCTTCCACGCTGACTTTGGGTTCATCCTCGGACGAGATCCAAAGCCGTTTGCACCAGTCATGAAGCTCTCCAAGGAAATGGTAGACTGTATGGGCGGAGTCAACTCAGAGCACTTCAAACAGTTCAAGCAGTACTGCTTCCTGGCATACACTGCTTTGCGCAAATCCTCTAATCTTATCCTCAACTTGTTTAGCTTGATGGTGGACGCGAACATTCCCGACATTCGACTCGAGCCCGACAAGGCAGTGCTGAAGGTTCGTGAACGATTTCACCTGGAACTCACAGAGGAGGAGTCAATGCTGTTTTTCGAGAGGATCATTGAAGACACTCTCGGAGCCATTGCTCCGGTTGTCATTGACAAGCTGCATGAGCTCGTGCAGGCTTTCCGAAACTGAGGGATGGTGATCAGGCTTGGAGGCTCCGTATGCATTAGAGTTTGAGGTCATAATTGACAGCAACAACAACGTTGGCGAGAACCAAGGAACCACAGTAGTCTCATGGGCCAATTCTTATTTTTGTTTTATTTTTGGACCCAAGCCGGTTCATCGGAGATACCGGGTATCTCGCTGCTGATACCTTGACGGAGTCCTTGCCGCAATGTGAGCAGGTTTGGAGAACCCGTGACCTTCCCAACAAGGAAAAGAAATGCTATGGAAGCCATCTTCATAGATGATGTTTACCCTGTGTACGAAACTCTGTGTACGAACTGTTTATGTCGTATTAAGACCGTAGAGGCACACGGTTTGATTCGCAACAGTCCAACTCTATCTTGCAACGGGTTGGGAACTATAGTGCCAGCCAAAGGTACCTATCTCCGACACCTATAACAATGTTGAGACCTCGAGAACTCAGGAATATATATGTATATATAAAAAGGTCTTACGCTCTTCGTGAGAAGTCCATTCTTTCGACCCAACATCTCCAACAAATCAACCATAGCCCCCTTCTCTTCAAATTTCCCAATCCTCTATCCTGTCTCGCCGACTCAGCCATATCAAAATGGACGTCCATTACCTTCCTACTTTTGAGAAGCGCCGTGAGCGGCTTGAGGAGGTATTCGACTTCCTTGGAGACACAGATCCCGAGAGCGTGTCTCCTAAATTGCGCGAACCTCTCCTGGCACTGCAGCGTCGCGCTGATGCACGCCGAGCCCCCTACGATGCAGACATCGAAGAAGAGCTCGCAATGTGGCAGGACTTTCTCGAAATCAGGGAGGACATCCATAAGTTCATGGGCTACCGCCGCTTCCTCTGGAGACTGAGGGAAGCCGATACAAAGAACTTTCTCGCCACTTATCTCTCAGGTCGATCATGGGCTCGAGAGTGGTTGCCGAACGGAGGTGTCCCTTACAACGCCTGCGAGCAATGCAACCATTGGCTTCCTAGTCGCCAGCAAGAATGTGAATGCCAGTTCATCTGCCAGCCTCTGTGGTGGATCCTTGAGGATTACCATCTTGAGCGAGATCGGTTCAACGTCTGGCTTAGGAATGCCACGATGTCGATGGGTATAGCAGATAAGCCTCAGCCCCCGTCCCCCGTCGACGACTTCTTTGTGAGGGTCGCCAATTACAGCCTGGAACACGACACCCCTGGAGAGTCATGGGATGTCAGAGACATTTACGAAGTCTTGCTACAGACGGATAGCCATGCAAGGGGCGAGCAGGTCACTTGTCGCGACTTCCTCCAGATGGGTTTGGACTACACGCTGAACAGGATCAACTGGGATCAAATGTCTGTTCTCAGTCGCGTCCACGGTATTCTCAGCGATGCCGAAGCCCAGGAGCTCGTGGAGGCGATCCATTGCGATGGTCTGATGTACTACATCTCATCTTTCTATCTCGACATCGACGGCAGATACGTTGACCAGCAGCCCCGCCAATGGGTCATCAATTATCTGGATGCGAATCCCGCGCCGCGGGACATCTATAATGGCGTGCCGTTTGGTCGGATTCTGACCCCTAGCTACCTCTGGAACGTGTATTTCATCGATGGTGATGGAAATGTCACGGTCTTCTGCCAATTCAAGGAGACTGGTGATGAGTGGATCAAGTATTGGCTCGGCACTGGCAGGCCTCTTGACCGGGAGAATGTTGCGGCTCTATGGGAAGATGCTGCTATATTCATTAGACACCATCACCATCAACCCCACCTCAATGTCGGTCATCACCACGCGCCGAGATACGATCCGGTATTCGATCGGGCATACGACCCGGTGGAGGAGGACAGTGGCCGGAATGGCGCGGGCCTCGGTTATCTCGTCTCCGCTCTCGCTTCCGCTGCTAGTGGTGCTGCCCGTCGTGTTGTTGAGACATGGCCTTTCGTTGAAGTACACAGACGAGTCCTCCGAGGGGCCAGTGATCTCGCTTCCGCTTTCCAGGGACCGGCGGAGAATCTTGGGGGCAGCGTGTATGAGGATCAACCGGCTGCGGAGAGTAAAGATGAAAGTGGGAATGAGGAGGTGAAGGATGAACGGGCTGCGGATTACATCCATGATGAGATGTTGGATGAACGGCCGGGGATGTGAGACGTGGTGACGACCGAGCCGTCGAGGGCTAAGGGATCGGAGTGATGGACCAGACTTTGTAGTCTACTGTGATATACAGACTACATCAACTTATTGTGCCTTTCGTGAACTGATGTGAAGGCATGCTCCGCTTCAAACGCGAGACAGACCGAGCAGTACGACTACATGCAATAGATATTGGCAGTAGCAGTGGCAGCCTCTTCAATTCGTTCTATAGTTTCAACAGAATCTCATCATCAAGGAATGTGGTGCGATGCTGAATATTGGAGGTTCTGCCTCGAATTTGCCCTGGAGCGGCCAAATCAACCAAGTACCAGGTTTCATACTTGAGATATGTGAAAGCCATCTTAATATGAGATTGCCTTAATGATCGAACACCAATATATGATACCTTGTTCAAGGCACTGAAATTGAAAAAAGCCGCCTCCCCCCCCCCCCCCCCCCCATAAGATAGGGAATACACGTCAGACAGCAAGAGCGAAGGTGGCTCCTTCCTCAGCAGCTATTCAATCCACGACCTCGTGCCTTCCTTTGATCTCGAAGGCCGCGCAAATTTTACGAAAAAGTACATGTCGCGCGAAGAAGTGACTTATCACCAGGCCTCCCTCTTTGGGCGCATCTCCCAGACCTTCTCTCCTTTTCTCACACCTACCTTCTCACACCTACCTTCTCATACTCATCTTCTCACACTCACACCTTCAACTCACCTCACCACTCTCAACTCATCGCCGCCTTGATCTCGCCCCGATCATAACTTCTCAGCCGCTCAATTGAATTTTTGTTTGGCTTTTGAGTCCTCATACACAACTCTCTCGGGCCTCTCCAAGACTTCCTCCGACAAGTCCGTCACACACCGGTGCAGCGAGAAGTCGCCTTCGCGCCCTGCATGGAGCCGCCAACGCTACCACGGTCTCGAAAAGAGGCAGACGCTCAATTGAAGAAGCTCATACGAAAGCGACGCGCGCTGAGGGGCCAAAAAGATAAATTCACGGGTGAACAATTAGGGGGAGCACTGAAACTTCTCTCGGAACACCTGTACAGCAATCCAACCCATTTCATTTTGGAGCTCATTCAAAATGCCGACGATAACGACTACTCGGCGGCCATCAATCAAAACTTACTCCCGAGCTTCTCATTGAGTCTCAAGTCCTTGGTTGATGCTGATGGGAAGAAGTTCTACGACCTGGAGACTGGGTGCAACGAGAATGGTTTTTCCCTAGACCAGATCGACGCCCTCTGCTGCATCGGAAAGAGCACGAAGAAGTCGAAAAAAGATGTCCATTCGGGATACGTCGGAGAGAAAGGCATAGGCTTCAAGTCTGTTTTCAAGGTTGCAAGTGTCGTTCACATCTCGAGTGGTTTTTACCACTTCAAGCTTAACAAGACCGGGGACATGCTGGGAGTAATGCTACCATTGCCTTCCCGAGTCATCAAACAGAAGTATGACACCGAAACCACAAGAATGACACTACGGATCGGTGACAGGCAATATCATGGGAAGATCGCCAAAGATCTGCGCAAGATGAAATCAGAAGTCTTGCTCTTTCTCCGTCGACTGAGACATATCATTGTCCAAGTAGGAACAGAGGAAGTTGAGTACCAAGCTACGTACAGAAGCCATGATGAAGAACTACAAGGGGAAGTGAGATCTGTCGTCATAAGGAAGAGTTCCACAGAGTCAAAGAAAGAGACCAAGTACATCATCGTTCGGAGAGCAGTGGGTGAGATGCCGTCGGAATCCCAAAGAAATAACATACACCAGTCAGAGGTAACTTTGGCATTCCCAGTGAAGGACGATGGAAGTCCCATCGCTCACGAGCAGCAAACTTTTACCTTCCTACCAATTGGGAACTACGGATTCCGGGTAAGATTTGCGCAACAAAGCTCCTTCAAAAATGACTAACCGAGGGCACAGTTCCTGATTCAGAGCGATTTCATTTTACTCGCAGACAGAGAACGCCTCCCCGAAGGAAACGCGTGGAACAACAAGCTCTTAGAAACAGTCATAAACGCGTTTGGGGATGCGGTCGAGAGATTCAACAAGATCGGCAATCCTATACAGTACTCTTGGCCCCAGTACTTGGAGCGGACCCCATCTCGCGACGTCTTCTGGGATAGTCTCGACGCTAAACTGATCAATTGCCTCAAATCCTCTCGAATCCTTCGAAGCCGCTTAGGGTGTTTCCAAGTCCCTGAGACTTTGATCTTCATTCCACCCGATTTCTGCATCAACAATGCACCGTTAATCGACTGCCCGAAACAGCGAGCTGGTCATCTAGCTGTCGAATACACACCACAAAACTCCCTACCTCTAGGCCTTGCTCGTCTTGGGGTAACGACTATGAATGAAGAGAGATTCATTTCCAACTTTTGCGACTGGGTCTCTCGGGAAAAGCCTGACCTTAGTTCCAAATCCACCGAATGGCATGGGAAAATATCGGCGATTCTTGTCGCTGCCGGGCAATGCAAAGCGAGGTTGCGCAATCTACCACTTCTACCTACAACAAATGGATCATTCGTTGCTGCCTCAACAGCGAACCTGTACTTAGCTTCGCGAGAAGTGGCTTGGAGTGCCCCCAGAGGTCTTGAGCTCGTCCTCGTGGACCCCGAGGCTCGTGACGATCATCGCAGAGAGACTCTCTTTCAAAGACTTGGGGTCGACGAATTATGGAAAAGAAATATATGCGAATGGATCGTGAGAGATCACCGCACAAAGCACAAACGCGATGACCGACGCTCTCTAGATTACCTGGTAGAAGAGATGGTATACCTCTTCCTCCATCGACACTTGCTGGTCGGCTTGAGCGACGCGAGGGACCTGAAAAGTATTTGGGTTCAAGCCGATGACGATCTAAGCCCAACTCGCGCCCGATATGTCTATTACGTCGACCCAGATGCGCCTCCTAACCTTCTTAACCAGCATGTTAGTAACCCAGAAGCTCCTATGAGAGTTTTGCACCCAGCATACCTTGAGCGGGCAAGTTACTTGGTTGCGATTAGGGAGACGGTAACTCTCGAAGATTCAACAGCCATGGCGGTGGCGGCAGAAGATCTTCAACTTGAAGCCAGGTTGACTGGCGAGACTTCAGCGCCAAAGAAAGAGACACACCCCTTCATCAAATGGTTGCAGTCCTCTTGCGGAATAGCAGTTCTCCCAAGATTGACGTTCTTTGATATGGACCTCATGGGCATGACGCTTAGCAGGGAATGCCGTTGGCTGATCGCCAAAGATCCTAAAGGGCTTCTCTTACTCCTCAGAGACCACTTGTTGAAGGACTACCACTCAGATCTCCAGTACATACGACAGGAAGTCCAGTGTATGAAAATCACTTGCCGGGATGGTCAAGAGCGGCAACTGAAGGATACTGCGGTGCCATCTAAATCTCTTCTCGACTCTTGCCCTCACATCGCATTTGGAGAGTTTCCCGATCCAGAAAACGCAAACTGGTCATGTTTCTCGAGCTTCTCGGTAACCACCCAAGTCAACATCAAGGCCTATATGCAAGAGCTACAGGCAGTCATTTTGTCGCCCATTGGCACAGAGACTCTGGGGGCCGTGGGGCAAATTTACACATACCTGTCCAAGAACTGCCGCAACTTGAAGGGGGATGCGAAGTAAGTACAAAAGCTATCGAGTCCCAAACGACGAAGCTGACAGCCACACTTGCAGAGATAAGCTCCGATCCGTCATGGAGTTAGTGTATCACCCGCAAGGCGGTTGGGTGCCCTTGGATGCCTGCGTCTGGCAAGGCTCAAGCTATCTCCCAAACTCTCTGGCGCTCGCCAACATCTATCCTGCCAGTTCTGAGCTTTTTCAGCGCACGCTAGGAGTTGCGGATGTAAGTGTCGCTGAAATAGTCAAAGAGCTTGTTCGTGTCGACAAGATTCCGGGCTCCTCACGAGATCACTCTTTGTTGAAGATAACTATCCTTGCCTTGAGCGAATCCCTGAGTAAAGGCCAACCGAGTCCAGTCCAGGTCAATGATGCCCTACGAGGAACGATGGGAAACTTGCAAATCTTCCCGATGGTCTCAACACCCGAGTCTTTAGGTGAACCACCCGGTGTGGTGTACAGGTCCATCGACCAGGACTGGTACGTTGGGGATAGGGGCGTGTTGAGACGGGCATTTGTCGAAAGAGTTTACCTCCTGGATTTTGAGGTTGAGGATATCTACAAGCTTATGCCCTTGATCAAGTGGCTGTCTATTGACAACAAAATTTTGAGTTCAGCGGTACAACAGCGGACAACTTACCTAGGATCACCTGTATACAACCGCGGCTGGTCCAATGACATCCAGAAGAAAGCGAGATGCATCGCTCTGTAAGTTTGCAAATGCCTATTTGAAATAGACTGTGCTGAGTCGAAACAGTCTCGGCATCAATACAGACATGACGCTGCCTCATCTCGAGGTGTTGCTCGCCTCGGGGTTGAGCGTGGAGAGGACCATCGGAGGCATACGCGGCAAAACGGAGGCCGGACATGTCTCCATCACGGAAAGCAAAGACTCGGTCAAAATCGTCGTCCTAGAGGACCCCTTCAAGAATAGCAGTCCACGAGTTGATAAGGAGCTCGTAGACTTCTTCATTCGCCTGTGTGCCATCGAGGACGTCAGCCGTGTCTCGCTCGTCTCGCTCATCTTGAAAGCCAGCTTTGGCGATGTGCGAGATCTTTTAGAGGGAGCAAATATTCGAGCTTCCACTGAAGTTCTCGACTTCTGCGTCGATGAGGCTGAGCAGCATGCTGCTGCCGAAGATGGAGAGATTACAGGTTTGAACGCCGCAGCGAGAGGTGTATTCAAACAGCTAAGTATTGGGGTGCCGCGTTTGCTGTCGCATGCGACTGATCATGGCCCTCGGATCTTCACATCTGCTCAACAAGACTTGCCTAGCAGGTTCAGGGAGATTGGACTCAAGGCCGAGATACACGTAAGTTTGATGTTCCCAGAGGCATCATGGTGTTCTACTCACAATTTCTTCAGGTCAACAATTTCTTTCAACAACATCTTCCTGACTGGAAGCCCGAGAAGCATTGGACAAGTCATCTCCGGGAAGAGAGGGGCTATTCCGTGTTCCTTGGCGACGAATCAGCTACAGCAGACTTCAGTTACACTGATACGGAGGGGAAGATACTCCAGGCCATTGGAGTCGTTCGCGAATCGTGGTCTTCGCACACGATCACTTATCACATCGAGGTCAAGGGAACGGTCTGTGGATTCGAAGAACCGTTCCACTTCAGCCAGAACCAAATGAATTTGGTAAGAGTTGTCCACTGACTTCCAGGTTCATCAGAGATTGAGGAAATCTAACATGAATGCAGGCCCGGAAGTACGCTTTCAAGCATGGCAAGATACCATCAGACGTCTTTCTCATCGGTCGTGTGTACAATGTGGAGAAGGAGAAGCCAGGTCTGAAATTCTACTGGAATCCGTGGGAGATGATCAACAAAGGCTCGCTCGTCATGACAGTTAATGATGGGTACCGCATCGCTCCTGGCAATACAGCAGCAACATGCAAATCAGCTTGAAGGAGGGCTTGAATTGGTCATCTGGTTTGGGCAGGATCGATAGGAGGAAGTGCGCTGGATTGTGAGAATAGATGATTATGTCGAAATAAGCACTCCTCAATGGGCTTCAACGCTTCCGATATCCGCTGAGCGCTCGCTTCATCATCAGCACGGTCGGTCTTTGGCTCTCCGAACTGTTAAGAAAAGCTATCACATGCAGTCGGGAGATCAAAGGCCAACTCCGGAAGCATATCGAAACCCACCGGAGACTTTCCAACCCCAACCTGCGGAGCATTAACGATCGATAGCTTCATCGAGACATGACCAACCGAACGTGGACTGAGCACGGCAGCCAGATGCGACCTTCAACGGGACGAGCTTTCGCGTGTGAGCAAAGAATATGAATTGTGGAGAAATTCGGACATTGCTCAGAGTGACCGGAAGAACAACAAAGAAACGCTTCATCGGTTGTTGATATTCGAGCCACAGGAGAATGGCTGTGGGGAGTTGCACGGCACAAACATAGGCACGATAAGACGGGGATCAGAGCTCGTGTCGGGTGGGTTTATTGCCAGCGGGGATCGGCATAGCAGCGCAAGGAAGATTTCCAAGGAACAACCTTTTGTGAGTCGAGCAGCGACTGGGAGCTAGAGGTCCGAACGCTGGTACCGAAGCGAACTCCACGTTTGATTTGGTAGCCGAAGGTCGGGGAAGCTTCCAAGTCGTCGAACAGTTGGCTTGCTGTTATTAATATCGTTCGTGTTTACTCCACGGGCTCGCTACTGGGTTGCAACTACAGAATATGGGTAAGGTACGCAATACATGGCAAAGTTGGCGGTCAGAAGAAACGGCTCCGAAGCTGCTGTGCGTGAGCGACACAGTGTCTACGAGTAGCGCGACAGCGGCATCTTTCTTGTGATGAATAAACCAACCGAAATGAGTTTGAGTGAGGAAAAGAAACCCCTCGCCTGATAAGGCAAGTCTAGAAGGTTCAATGTTTCTTTGCCTTTCTAACTAACCTTTCTCTTTCCTTCTCAGTAAAATTAATCAGAAACTCTACAGTATGTATCCCAGTCTCTTCGGCCACAAAGTTACCAGAAGGCGCCTAGGCAACCTGCAGAATAGAGTAATTCATTGTTTCTATGCTGCAAGGAACATATTGGCAGTGACAAACTCTAATGAAATTGGTCAAATCAGGTGTTTACCGTGGGGCCCCTCTCTCTCTTTTCCCTCTTCACCACGGTCACCAGGACGGCAAAAACGGCCATTGGTCTCTCTGGTTTGGGCTTCCCCGTGCGGTAGGTATTCTTACTGACCCCTGGCCCCTGGTCTGCTGGTCCCGCATGTCACCTCGCACGATGTCATGCCAGCCCGGCACTCAGGTCGTAGAACCGGCCGGCCATCAACTCGCTCTTTTCGGGTGCTTTCTGCTACTACCAAGACGGCGACGCGCCAGGTTTGTCGAGCCTTGACACCTTGACTCATCTCTGTGCGGATAGCTTGCCCGGCGGCCGAACAGTTAAAGATAGTAAGAGCGGCAGACACACTGACTAACAGAATCTCGGAGGGGGCATCGGGGCCAAAGCAAGACTGATGGGAAGGAAAAGTGCCGACGCAACAGGGCAGATGATGGGCAAGTCGAGGCAATTCGATTCAATCCGATGGTTGTCTCAGCACAGCCAGCCGGCTCAACGCGTTCTTGGTTGGGCTCAAGCCACCTGCCATCCAATCAAAACGCACAGATGCCCGTATTTCGTCCGTCTCGTAGTCGTCTTTCGGCTGTCACACTTTTCATGAGGCTGGACGCTAAGCCAAGGTCGACGGGCAATCGAGAGTCAGGACACGAGCTAGAGAGCTGAAGCGTGAGTTGGCTAGACGGACGGACGGACCGCGAGACAGCGTGGATCAGCTAGATAGCTAGACAGCAAGATAGCTGGACGGTGGACAACCTCGCTCAAGAATCTAGCTCCTTGTGCGCCAGCCCGTTGCTCGAATGAGCTCGAAAAAGGGATGCATCAAACAGCAATTCGTTGACGTTCCATTGGAGCCAGAAGAGTCAATTGGATGTCACCTCAATCACCAGCGCCACAAGTCAGTTCACTCGCCCAGCTCGAGAATGATCACGCTGATTCCCCGTCTTTTCTGCCCCTGCCAACCCTTTTCCACCAGGAGCCAACTTGCCATCCATTGACCAAAGAGATCATGGTTGCATGTTCCTGGCCAGAACCCGGTCCGTGGCCCAGGGTCTAGCTACAGGTCGAATGGGTCCAGGTCCAGGTTTCCAAGTCCCAGTGTGTTCTTCGCAGTAGCTCGACGGCCCCAAGGTTCACACCCCCTTGCTCGCCAGTCAAGGTCGCGTCGCCCCAGCAGAAAAGCGAAAAGCTAACGCCTCCCCAAGCGGAGCTAACGTAACCCTCCACCCTCCACGAGTCCACCCCAATGGATATTGGAGACGCCGCCGTCGCGCGCGCCCGCCGCTGCGCGGTGCGGATATTTGGGATAAGCTTTTTGCGAGCAGAGGGCAGAAGGGGAAAAGCTTCAGAGTCAGGGCCAGGGGTCCCTCTCACTCGCTTGCTCCTGTCGCTCTCTCCCCCGAAGGAACGTGGTGGCTTGCCGGCGCGCGTTGGACTCTTATTTATGGCCCATCCCGTCTTCTCGGATCAACGTTGGATACGTCCTCTTGATTCTTGTCTTGCTCAACTTCACGTCCGCTAATCTCAACGTCGTCCATCTCGTCACGTCCTATATCTTACCGATATATCAACCTAATACCGTGTAATACTCACAACAACCACACAACGTTCACAATGAAGTTCACTCTCGCCCTCGTTGCCGCCGGCCTTGTTGTCGCCCAGGACTTCTCTGGCCAGCCCTCCTGCGCCGTACGTTACAATCCTTCTGATATCCCTATGACCCCAAACTAACATTCCTCCCCCTCAGATTCCCTGCCTTACCGATGCCATTCCCAAGGTCGGCTGCGCCCTGACCGACACCGCCTGCCAGTGCACCAAGGAGAAGCAGGAGGCCCTCGTTCCCGTCGCCGCCTCCTGCCTGCTCGCCGCCTGCAACTCGGCCGACCTCGGCAAGGCCCAGTCCGCTGCCGCCGCTGCTTGCGCCGCCTACGCTGCCACCGCCGGCTCTGCCCAGCCCAGCGCTACTTCCGCCGCGGCTTCCGCTTCCGCTGCTGCCTCCTCGGCCGCCGCCTCTGTTTCTGCCTCCGTCTCCGGTGCCGTCTCATCTGCTCTCGCTTCCGTCAGCGCCAGCGCGAGCGCCGCTCTGTCTTCTGCCTCTGCCTCCGCCTCTGCTATCGTCACCTCTGCCCGTAACGCCACTGCCTCCGTCAGCAGCGCCACTCTCTCTGCTTCCCGCACCGCCTCTACGGCTGTCACTGGCACCGGCACCGGCGCCAGCGCCACTGCCTCTTCCACCGGCAACGCTGCTCCCCAGGGCGGCGTTGCTGTTGGCGGCCTTGCCCTTGCTGCCATCGCTGGTATCGTTGCTGCTCTGTAAAGGGGTTGACATTTGGCGATGGTTATGGAAAGGAACTGCCTTCAGGAAAGGGGTAGCATGTACGCATATACTGTGTAGATGAAACTCCGCCATTGGGACTGTATGTGTAGGATGAATTAAAGCAATTGGACGTCTAGACTTAATGAGGATGGGCGGAGGAACTGGGAAGAAGAAAAAGTTCATGATCATGGCCTGGTTTGTTGCTGTTGGCGCAAATGTCTAGCAAAGACACAGGATAACATACTTTTTAATCGAATATACCAAATTCACAAGATGAACAATCAGCTTACGTTCTCATAACTGCCTCTCTTTCGCTGCTGTCGTTTTCGCTCCGCGTTCAGTATATACTATCGGCAGGAGACAATCCAGAGTTTCATGACGAGAGAGGCTAATCAGATTCAGGATCGGATGAAATTAAACGCTGCTTAGGTAGGTCACAGGCAAAGCTTCGCTGATGACGCCATTACTGACGTTATCCTTCTTGCCCCTCTCAAAAAGGCTATATGCATGGAATCTTCCGATCATTCTGAGCAACAGCGTCAGGATGACAGGCAAACATTGTGCCCGAGAGCGCCCTAGGCAGCCTCAAATTTTACTCACGTATGGTAGTACTGGTGAAGCCAGACTTCGAGCAGCATCAAGTTCGGTGGCAGAAGATCTGTCACCTGTTAAACGTTTGACTTCAAAACACCGCTTCCTTTTTTCACCGACTATCCAATCCAACGTCCGGTGCAACTGTGTTCAGAAACAAACTCGCCACTTATGTCGCCCCCCAGGCGTTAGAGCAACGGTAGTTGAGGTAGCCCATCGGTGTCTCCGGGTGACCAGACACTGCCGTTCGGCCGCATGTGGGGCCGAGTCCCGGCCCGGTAAACGATCGCCGTTGTCGCCCGCCGTGCTGGAAACGCCTTGGTTTGAACAAGCTACCTTACGCCTCATTGCGAAAAATGAAAGTTTTTCATGAGAAGTTGGCGATGTTTTGGATCTTTCCTCCCTCCTTTTGGATTGGTAACGCGTCCCTTGAAAAGCGTCAGGCTCTGTTTCAAAAGGAGGACAGCATGACTGGCGATACCGCAGTCTCGGTGGTATGATTCGAATCTACAATGAAATTGGTCAACTTCCTAACAAAAAACGATTTCTGGCGCGAAGAGAGTGGGTTTTGGGCGGGTGTTACTGGTTCGATTGCTTCACGGGTGCAACGCGTAACCGCATTCGCCGAAGATGATGTAACTCGCCATCTTCCACGTCGATGAAAGCACAACTCCCGTCGAGGATACAATTTAGGGGCCTAATTTAAGGCTATATGAAAGCTCACCGCACTATATCTTATCCCCCTTCTCATGTCGATGCCTTGCATGAACTCCCAAGCCTTCGTCAACCTGTTGAACTCATTACACATTTGAGAGACCCAGTAGCACATCCAATCTCTGTACATTCCTCTAAGTCTATGGCGTCTCCGAATCATAATGCTTGAGAGATGTCAGATAGACGCCCGTCATGACCAATATCAT